TGTTTCAGCATCTTAAAATGTTACAATTAACTGTATAATTAAGCACTGCCCTAGATTTAAATGTTTGACACTTATTGCTGAGTTATATGACACTTTTGGGACTGCATTTTGTTAGTTATAGAAAGTGCACTAAAATATCTGCTTGATTCAACAAATTAAGCTAAACGAGTTAAAAAAAGTTATTAGCCTCACAAAATAAAACGTTAAATGGCACAGACTTACATTTTGTTTGTGTGTTCGCCACAGATTCGGTTTGCCTTTAGATAGGTAAACAATACGATATTTTCAAAAAATAAAAGGAATATGCTGCGTAATAATAAGTCAAATTGCATGCTGGAAATGCACAATGCATCATTCAACATCTGAATGCAAAATCTCAGTGGCATGATGTGACATACCCAAATAGGTCGTGTTATTTTCAGCACTAATATGCTTTTTCTCAAGGTGTTCAAAATCAGGAAAACGCAAATGTAGAGCACAAACAGCCATGTACCTGAAACACCTGATCCTGAAAGTGATAGACAGACTACACCAAACAAGAAAATAAAAAGCCCTCTCCTGGCTATTCTCACTGAAGCCTTGGCCTTTGTCCCTATCAACTCTGATTTCTACCAGTCCCTTCCCTTGTTTCAACAATAAATACCCCCATCCTAAATAAAAACTGATCAGAACTTTAAATCAACAACATTCAAACCCCAAGACAGCAGAGTATCTGACTTCAGGGAAAGAAAATTTACAATCTCTCTTTTTTCCATAAGCATTCACATTATGAAAATAGTATTTGCATCATCTGGAATGAGAGAGGGGTGGGTATACAGCCTTTCTGTTAGAAGAATTTCATGAGTAAAAGCAGGATGCCTGGTGGATTTTCCCTTTCCTAACCCCCCTATTAGGGAACCACAGTTGAAATCAGCTAACAGAGAACTTACTACTTTCCACTCTATATGGCTCAGTGCTTCTTTTAAACCCATTGGACCATGAAAATAACAGGAATTTTAATAAACAATGACTATTATCTGTATTCATAGAGAGTGTGGAGTCCTGTAGCTCAGAGGTTAGAGCACTCACCACGGAAGCAAGAGACCTGGGTTCGATTCCCAGCAGGCGAAACTTAGCAGTAAGTAGGAATCCAGCTGTTAGTCGATTGGCGAATGGCTTTCCGGGGGTAATAATTCCATCACAAAAGAATAAGAGTAAATTGGTCACTGAATCCATGACTGTTTTTGGGACACTGCTGAGTGCAATTGGCTATGAAGCGTTTTGAAACATCTCAAAGATGTGATAAGGCGCTATATCAAATGCAAGGATTATTATTATTATGTAGTGGCATAGAATTATACAGATTGGCTTCCTGGTTGGTCTGAAAGTACAAATTAATTTAAAGCATAATCCTACTTTCATCACTCTCATGCATGGAGTTCAGTTGAATTCAACAAATAGCCCTCTTGAATTCTGTAACCTAATTCTGTAATTAGTTTACAGAATTTCAACCCCCCCAACTCCCCAGTCTTTCCTTCCTCAGAATTTCCACAGAGCGGGTACATTTATCTTCTTCATGCACATGATAATTTAATAACAGAATGCAACTGCTTTGCTGAAATGCTCTTCCAAGTCCCAAGAACCAAATTGCAAGCAGTATTCATCTCACAATGGAAGGACAAGAACAAACCATTCATGACAACACCCAGAGGAAACCTTACAGTGAGAACGGTTCGAGCCAAGGGGAACAACAGTTCCAGGTCTGAAATGGAGAGAGAAAAATGTTGAAATGGTTGTCCTATTTATGTGTGAATAGTTGACTCAAAACCTGGCTGGCTTGTATTTGCTGTTTTGAAGCAACTAACGAGTTAGGTTGTCACTATGCTGTTACTCATAAGGTATTGCAACTCCATCAACAGTGTGTTTGCTTAAACTGTACATAAGAATAGACAAAACATTTCCTAACTTGAGAATTTATAATCAAAATAGGTGCTTTTTAAAATTTAAGTATCCATCCCTATTTTGTTTTCTGATCTACAGTTTTTTTGCTTTTTGAAGCCAAGCTTCCACAACCAGTGTTCCTCCTCCAATAAATGCAACAAAAACTTTAGGAACATGGAAGTAACCTTCAACACAAAAATATCTTTTTTTAAAAAAATACAAGTTCAGCAGGTGCTACATGATGTTCCTAATTGCAAACAGGCCAGCGGTTGATTAGATAAATACTGTATGACAAAATTGCCAAGTTTATTCGGTATTGTGTATTACACTTTGCATAATTACACTTGAAATGCAACAATATTTTGTACTGAGCTTTTGTCTATTTTTTTCCAAACTGAAGGTGGTATGGTTCCAGTGGCAGTAGGCTGCCTAGCGGTGTACTAAAATTATGCAGACAAGGAAGGCCCCTGGGTCAACTTCTGGTCTGTGCTACTTTAATTTATTTTGCTGGACACTATAATTAGCCCTTTATCAAGGAGAGGGAAGGGCTGCAGCAGAAACAGCTGGCTTACCTATTGCTGTTGATTATCTAGTGACATTTCTGGAAAGTTAACATGTCTGAGATAAGGAAAAGATTAGCTTAAACAGTCAAACAGTCCATCAAACCAAGACTGACATGGTCACATGGGACATAGCACCTCTGAAGGCACGAATGAACACCTTCATAGAGTGAATTGGATTTTTTTTTAGAAAAAATCTTCATTCTGCATAAATAAATATTTTGATCTGAGATTTTTGTAAATACCATACAATATTGTACTTCTCAAAAGAGCATCCTTAACAGAATATGAGAAGGATAGATTGTGACAGTAACACGGGATTTGTTTACAGATGTATCAATTGGGTTGGGGCTAGTACACAAAACACACACTATATGCTAGAGAAATCAAATCTTATCTACTTGCATAATACATCTCTGCAATTTGAACTTCCTAAAATGCATAGTGAAATCAATCCACAGCCATTATCCCAACAATTTTTGCTGAAGATGAACAAAGTACATTTTGTCATAAGAGTCCTTTACAAAAGATCAACTTTAAAAACTTAAATATAGGTACAAGTAGAATAAAGATATTTATGCAAGCTCAAACTGAACAATTTAAATTGAAGTTACAACATCAAATACTGTAAACTCCTAATAACTCATCACTCAAAGGAAAAAAAAGCTCAGCAACTATCCGGTCGGTTATGCTGTGTGGCTAGGTCCTCCCAGGCCACAAGGGGGCACTGTAAATTGTGCAAGTACTTGGCAGAGGTTGGGCATGCTTGCTCGTATGCATTTGGTCTATTGGAGGGCTATGCCATGGCCTCCCCCTAACCCGTTATAAAGACCGCTGGTCTTTTGGAGGGCTTCACCATGTCCAACCCCAGGAGTGGAGACCTGCATCTGCAGAATGAGGGACAACCACAAGCAACTTGCATTATGACCCCCCCCCACCCATCATAGATCCTGTTCAAATTAAGCAAGTTTGGTTTTCAAATTAATTTTCCACCACTGCTCCACTAAAGTTCAAGCTTTGTTACATTTTTGTTTTCCTTCTTATTCACCAAAGATAGGAAATAAGGTATCCTAGGCATGCTGGTGAGAGCATTCCCAAACCCTGGGATTCACAATTTAAATGTATTGTTCCATGCTTGTTATTGATCATCCTACTGCTGGTAAATGATATCCATCATTTAACTATTCAATCCCAATCACACTGTCAACTGCATATGGCCTTGAACTGAGTTGACAATGGAACATAGCTTTGTAATGATGCTTCCCTCAGGTTTTTGGACTCTACATTTTAGATATTTATTTTTACTGTTGTATAGAACTGCAATCATTTTAATGATAACTTCACAAAATAATAAATAAAATTGTAATCCAATACTTTTGAGCACTGAATATATTTTGCAAAGGTCTAAATCAACTACAATAGAATGCTTGTAAAACTACTATTGATGTTTGTCAAGTATATTCAGTACAATAAAGTGGTCTGAATATTATACTTTTGGGAAAATACTGATATACTGTGACTGTTATTTTACGACCTTCAATTTCAACAAGTTATAGCCAGGATAATCTCAACTCTGTTAGATTAGATCATTCCGTTCAACTATCTAAGTGAGTCAGCTGAAGTCACCACAGAATCTCGACTCCGCAGGGAATACTTCAGCTTGGCATCTTCTAGAATTTCTATTGCAAATGGAGGCCCTTTTATTCCACATACAATTAATATTGTTCTAAATCTAACTATTTCCCACATGAGGAAATGTCTCCAGTGGTCCCAGTACAGCATATCCATTTCTGCAAAATTTGAGACTGCGAAGCTGAAGGGAAGCTGCATAAGTACAGAACTGTTATTCTCTAAATTGCAGTTTTGGGAAGGTAACAAAAATATAAAATAAATGTAATTTAGGCCAAATGTACTAACAATCTGAATATATATTTATACAATACAGTATATCATAGGAGTTACAACTACTGTATTGTTATTTTCAATTTAACAATCGAAAGATTCATACCACAAATTCACTCCAGCAAGATTTTCTAAAGTCAATATGAACCTCTTGAACACCCCCAAAAACTAAAACAAATTTGTAACATTTTGCCATGACAAAACTTGATTACATCACCTTTCAGGGAAAGATGCAATGTGACTGGAAGGAAAAGAAAATGCTAATAAGACTGTAAATGTGCAGTAAAACAGTACAAAATGGCAACACAAGGCAGCTAACAATGAAAGAGCAAGATTACGCGGAAGAGATGGATCCAAAACAATTAAAATAAGTAGGACAGTTGAGTAACACAAGTGAGCTGGAACAAAAATAGCAATAAATGGAATCCATTATATACAGAACCTACAGTTCTGTTATTGTCAGAGAAATAATTCAGCTGTTTACTTCATTACTTAAATGAATATAACAAAAATGTGTTCCAGAGAGAATAAAAACGTGTTGAAAAGGTGGGTTCTGTTGTAGAGGGAAGAACGGGTATAATCTAGATATTGAATGAATACTATTAAACAGATACGTACCTTAAAGTTACTGGCGTTGACCCATCCTGTAGCAAGGCCATCAACCATTCGATCAAGCATTCCCTGGTCCTGTTCCAATTCGATGGATTTCTGACGATCATTGATATACTCGATTAGGTCTTGAGCAATTTGCAGCCGACGTCCCATATCCTTCTGAAGCACTTGCGCCAAGTAATATTCCAGGTTGGGCTCCATGTTTAGGATGCAGCAGCAGCAGAACAAGGGCAGTAGGTCTGAAAAAAACTATTTTATATTTATCCTAGAGGTCGTCTATCGGTTTCCTGAAGGTTATCGAGCGGCCGTGGTGAACAGATACAATCTTGGGAACGGCAGCAATGCAGCATGTGTCTTTTCAGAAGCAGCTGGATAAAGGGATTCAAAATCCTAATAAAAAAATAGCAGCAAACCCGGAGCAGTGGGGAGTGTAACAAAGGTCCCTCATAATTCGATTTCCTGAACGTTGAAGGCAATCCTTTGGGGGGGGGCAGAAAAAACAGGCAAATGATTATAAACCTCACACGTTTAATACCCCTTCCATTAACATTTCTGACAAACCAGAGATTAAACCCGTATGTTTTGTTCTATCACAATGTTTTCTGCCCTCACAACGCCTGGTGGACTGACTCCACTCCCATCGCGTTCAAATGACTGCCTTTCTGCGCGTTCCTTCTAGTAATTACGGATTGCGAGAGGGGGACCGAGTGCCCAACGACGAAGGTGTGGATTGTGCGAGATTGCTATCACCGGCGCTTTTCTGCTTCTCTGTGGGGAAGGTGTGTAACACACAGCAGCTGCGACCGTCCACCTCAGGTCCTCCTCCTCTCCCCCACCGCTGGATGATGGATCGCTTCCTGCACATGCGCCGCATTCCCTCCTCCCTTAAACTTCCTGCCAAATACAGCACCAACCGACAGGAATCCCCGTCCTCTCTTCCCCCGAGGTGAGAATGGCAGGAAAAGCCGCCCCCACCCCACCCATCTCCCCTCCCCAGCCACTGTGCTGCAAAACAACAGGGTCACAGAGCTGGGAACACGAGCCTTTGTAATAAAACTGGACCCCCCCCCACCCAGCAATGAGCAGATCGGCACAGAGGGAACACACTGAGCAGTGGATGTGGGAATCAGGATCCAAAAAAAATCATCCAGTGTTTTGGGGGAGTGGGGAATTCAGCATTTACATTGTGCTGTGGATTGAGGGGAATCAGCATTAACGCTGCACAGTGAATTGGAGGAAGGCAAACAGTATGACTATGTTATTGTACTGATGGGAATTAGCATTAACAGTATACTGTTGATTGAAGAGGGAGAAATCAACATTATTGTTGTACAGCAGATTAATGCTTCACTGTTATTAATGTAACACCCAGTGCAATATAAATAAGGATTATTAACATCAAACATTAAAGACTGCTTGGTACCAATTAGCCCAATTAATGTTAGGAAGGGAAGGGTTCAATGGTTTTATTTCTAGAAAATGTAACACTGAACGTAGCCCCAACTGTGTGTCTCTTTGTGTGTGGTGGGGGGGTCCTATTATTAATTTAAAAATTAACAGTAGAAAGTGGAAGTTGAATCTATCCCAAATTAACACGCGCGTGTGTGTGAGGGGTGTTAGAAGGAAAGAGGTTAAATTGTTATACAGTAAACTCCTGATAACTTGTCACGCCAAGGGAAACGGGCTCAGTTCCGAGTTACTCTGATTGGCTAGTTAGGCATATATAAATAAATGAGGTCAGGATATTGACAGCATGATAACTTAAGTGGTAGTAACAAGTTAAGACAGAGTTGAGTTATAAGGAGTTTACTATCTTAAGGCTAAATCTAAACTCAATTTCTGTTTATGTGTGGAGGGGGGGGGAGAGGAAGTGTGCTATTTATGAAGCATTGTCAAAACTGGATTTCTAATCTAGATTTCAAGATTGTTTGTGTATATAACACACATACGTCTCTCTCTCTCCATATATATCGATATATTGTGTGTGTATATTTACTGTGCATGTATGGTGTGTATAATATATGTATATATGTATACAGTGTACATCGTACATGTGCGTGTATATAAATGCGTGTATAAATATATATACAAATACACACAGTATGTGTATGTTTAATTACACCTATTGAACCTCGGTAGGTTTGGTTTGTATAATCTCCAAAGCAATAGCTATGGATGCCTGCACATGTATCAAGTCAACCAGCTGCTCAAAAAAAATGAAGCCCATAAATACATACCCACACACACATATACATAATATAAATGCAAAAATCTCTGCTGTCAGGTTTGCTCCTGGTGTGGCAATAAAGCTCACAGGCTCTTTGGCAGCTCTTTGAGCAGGGGGAAGGGGGAGGGAAGGGACTGGGTACAGCATGCAGCTGCACTCAGGGTAGACAGAAATTATAACTCGTTTCTAGCTCAAAGTTCACCAAACACGAGCTAAAAAAGTCTCCCAATATTACGCTCTGCCTCCTATGAGTAGCAGCAGAGTGGCCCGATTCAGGTTTAGTGCTTTTGACACAGCGTAATAAAATAATAATAATCCTCGCATTTGATACAGCGCCTTATCACGTCTTCGAGACATCTCAAAGCGCTTCACAGAATGCACTGTAAAGTGAATTGACTGTGTATTTGTGGGCGAAACGCGGCAGCCGATTGCGCACAGCAGCGTCCCCGCAAACAGCCGGGGATTGAAGTGACCAAATTATTATTGTTGTCATTTTCTTTAAAAAAAAGCGACTTATTACCCTTTAAAGGAGATTTTTTTGGATGAAAAAAAAACAGGGTTTGCGGGTTTAAAAACGTTTTTAAAAAAAAACTGAAAAAAAATTAGGAAACCCGCCCAGTCATTCTTTGTGTACCACAGAAACCCGCCCAATTGGGCTTGAACCCCGCCCCCAACCCAATGGAAGGGGCGTGAAGAAACCCGCCCAAATGGGCTTGAACCCCGCCCCCAACCCAATGGAGGGGGCGTGAAGAAACCCGCCCAAATGGGCTTCAACCCCGCCCCCAACCCAATGGAGGGGGCGTGAAGAAACCCGCCCAAATGGGCTTGAACCCCGCCCCCAACCCGATCGGGGCATGAAGAGACCCGACTAATTGGGCGTGAACCCCGCCCAGCCCACCCGCCCCAATTGGACTTGAAACCCGCCCGATTGACGTGAAACCCCCCGCTCCCTCCTTCCCTCCCTCCCCCCTCCCCTCCCCGGCGCGCTCTGTAAATACCCAGTACAGCATCTACATCTATCGTCTATAAACAGGAATACAGAATTGATCAAAGCCGAGGCCTGAGGTAGTAACCGGTACTGAGGAGGAGAAAGGGGGGCGGCGGCGGCGGGGGGGGGGCGGGTGAAAGCAACCGTTTTAAACCGTTAACGCCGGGGGGGCACTGCCCCGCAAGGCCCCGGGCATTTTGTGCCTCGATTAACCCTAACGAAAACGATGATGATCATCATCATCACTATTATTATTATTATTATTAGTAGGTACTGTCCGCTCGGTCGGTCGGTCGATCGGTTCGTTCTTACCCCCCTCCCTTTGTTTGGCCTTTGGCTCCCGCTCCGCACAGCACAGTACATCCGAGCCGCCCGGAGATTGGGGGGAGGGGGCGAGGTGGTGGGGGGTGGGGGGGGGGTGGGGGTGTATGTTGGGGTTGTGTGTGGGTGTGTGTGTGGGGGTGTGTGAGGGGGGTGAGGAGTGTATGTGTGTGTGTGTGGGGAGTGAGGGAGAGAGCCAGTGAGGGAGGGAGGGAGGCAGTTGGTCCGTCGCTCTCGCGCCGAATCCAACTGAAAGGGACAACCAACCGCCAAACAGCAGCTTCACTCACTCACTCACTCGCTCGCTCGTTGGCTCGAGCGCGGGTTGGCGGGCGGGCGGGCGTGCGCGCGCATGCGGGCGGGCGGGTCGGCCGCAGCAGCCAAGCCCAACCCCGACACCAGGACAGCCCAGGCCAAGCCCAGCCCACCGGCAGCCAGCGCCACCCTGCGGCCAACTGTAGGGAGGCAGCGCCTGGTGAGTGTGCTTTGCGCGCGCGCGTGTGTGTGTGTGTGTGTGTGTGTGTGTGTGGGGAGGGGCTGGCACGCTCGAGCGCATGCGCACTGCCACGGCGGCCAAGCCCCACCCCCTCTCCCCAACCCCAAACTGCCGACAGCGCCACCCCGCGGCCAACTGTAGGCAGCGCAGTGTCCTGGTGCAATGCAACTGGGGAGAAGCAAGTGCCCCCCTCCCCATCCCATCCAATGCACTGTTCAGCAAGCCCCCACCTGCTCCATGCACTGTGAGCAAACCCCCCACACCCCCCACACCCACATTGCATTTGTACGGCGCCTTTCAGGCGGGCGGACGCCCCCAAGGCGCTGGGCGGCCAGCGTCTCGGACCCGAGCTGTGGTGGGAAGGGGGGAAGGGGGGGAAGGGGGAAGGAGGGTGATCGAAGGCGCGGTCGAAGAGGAGGGTCTTGAAGGAGGCAAGGGAGAGAGAGGGCGAGGCGGAGGGACTCAGGGATGGAGCTCCAGGGAGTGGGACTGGAGTGGCTGTAGGGCACTTGTGAGCAAAGACCCCTATCTATCTATCTATCTATCTATCTATCTATCTATCTATCTATCTATCTATCTATCTATCTATCTATCTATCTATCTATCTATCTATCTATCTATCTATCTATCTATCTATCTATCTATCTATCTATCTATCTATCATCTATCTATCTATCTATCTATCTATCTATCTATCTATCTATCTATCTATCTATCTATCTATCTATCTATCTATCTATCTATCTATCTATCTATCTATCTATCTATCTATCTATCTATCTATCTATCTATCTATCTATCTATATCTATCTATCTATCTATCTATCTATCTATCTATCTATCTATCTATCTATCTATCTATCTATCTATCTATCTATCTATCTATCTATCTATCTATCTATCTATCTATCTATCTATCTATCTATCTATCTATCTATCTATCTATCTATCCAATGCACTATGAGCAAACCTCTACCTATTGCTATATAATGTCTACTCCATGCACGGTGAGCGAGCAAGCCCCTACCTATGTTTTTTTTTGGGGGTGGGGAGGGGGGGGGGTCAGCCGGGTGCCGGACAAATGCGGGAACCCGTCGCCATGCTTAAGGGCGTCCGAGCCAAGCTGAGGTTTCCGCGTGTCCCACCTTCGCGTGGAAGCCCCAGCGGTAGATCGTGGGAATGGAAGGCGCGCTCTCTCTCTCTCTCCCTGGAGGGACGCATCTGCAATGCGTGGTGAGCAAACCCTCTCACTTACTCGGGGCACTGCGAGCGAGCCCCCCCCCCCCCACCAACTGCAATGCTTTGTGAAGCAAGACCCTGTCTACTGCAATGCACTATGAGCAACCCAACCTCATACTTATTCCGTGCAATGTGAGTCAGCCCTTCATTTTTTTTCCGGCATCAGCCGGGTGTCTGACACCTGCGGAAACCTGTCACCATTAAAAAACACCATTGAGACCAGCCGAGCCGAGCCGAGAATTCCATGCATCCCACGTACACAGTGGAAATTAAAATTATTAATTATTATTGCCCTTATCCACTGCAAAGCCCTTATCCACTGCAATAGCCACTACCTATTCAGTGCACTTTTTGCAAGCCATGGCAGGCTTATGCCTACAGCGCGTGCGTTTAGCAACCGTCCTTTTAAGTCGTTTGCTCATGTGTTTCAGGGAAGGCCAGCCGTAATGTTGACGTAATGGGCATTTAAGACGAGACACCTCGGTGAAAATTCTACACCGATGACTATCGGAACTGAGATTATCTGATTCCATTTTGTTAGATAATATGCTGTGTATTATGTGTTTTGCTTGTACTGTTTATTTGATTAATGGACCGCACTGTAAGGAAATCAAATACATGACCATAAAAACTTAGCCTATCTGCGTGTGCAACATTCTTTGAGCTATGATAAGATAACAAATACACGTTAGTAGTTCACAGTAAACACCCCTGTTGGCAGGAGATAAAAGAGTCTTAAAGAGAGTTTCTAATTTAGAAAGAAACATCGAATGTTCCATTACCAAAGCTTTGAAAAATCCCCAGAAAGGAGAACCACATTTTTAGTCAGAGGTTTAGAAGCGGCTCATTGCCAGGACTTAGCCATTAATGCTGAAAATCCCCAGTCAGGTCAATTTGTATCTGGGAGGGAAACAATAGATTATTGTTTTGCTCCAGGACCATTCATTACATTTCTACCAAAAATGTTTTAATGTTACGTAGAGCTTGAGAGATGAAAAAACAAGAACACACCTTACCGTGAGCCGGTAATTGTTTGATGCATTTAAAATTAAGCGATGTGAATCATTTTGTGGCGTCATTGTATTTCCTCTACAACCTAGGCTTTAAGCCACTTTTTAGTCGTTAATCAAGGGGTATTGTTTAAATTAAGCAGATGACATCAAGCACTCTGGGAGTGTCTGAGGATTATTCACTCTCTGCCTCTGAGGAATCCTCCTCAGTCGCAGGGCTCGAGGGTCGGCCTGGAACAGTCACCTCTGAGCCACAAGACAGTGAGTTCAAGTCCCACATCACGGCTTTGAAAGCTTGGCTGACACTCCAGTGCAGTGGTAGGGTGGGAGGTGGGTTCCTTAGGATGAGACTTTAATCTGCCCATTCAGGTGGACGTTTAAGATCCTGTGGTACGACTCAGAATAGAAGAGAGTTCTGCATCTCTTGGTATCATCGTTGACTAATTGTGCGACATTGCTGTGCTCAAATTGGCTGCCGGTTCACTTACAAAATAAGCTCACTACAGTTTACAGTAATTGCTGTGATGTCCTGCAGACATGAATTGACTACGTTGAATGCGTAGATTAGTATTGAAGGCAAATATTACAGGGAATTTTCCCGATTAGGAAATCGCGTTCAGCGCATCAAGTTGCAAAACTGTACCTTGAACCCTACCCATGACTAAACTTCAAAGCAAATCATTGTTTGAAGCGCATTGAAACACTTCAGGGGAGAATGAAAGTACATGTATTACAGTATTTTTTAAATTCCCGTATTTACAAAAAAAAGGATTAATTAGTTTTTGGCAAAGATCATTTTTAAAATAAAATCAGATGGAGGAGGGTTGGCGTCCAAATAACCACAAATTTAATCCTGAGAACGTTTCCAGAAACAATAAATTAAGGTGATATTTCTGTATTAAAAAATGGAAAAGATGATTTTTGTTTTTATTCATTTAAAATGAATTAAAATGAATTTTAAAAAAATCATAAAAAGCCCCTTTGATTTGTAATAACAATCTTTCCATTTGATTTAGGTCCTTTCACATCAGAAGGATGTTTGAAAACCCTTCACAGGATTTTACTGTCAAGTAAAATCGTGGATTCCTTTAGTGTATTGGTTGGAGCACTCGCCTCGCAAGAAAGAGGACCTAGTTTTGATTCCTGGGCAGGATGAAACCTTAGACAAGTTTCCTCAGTCCACACTTCTGTTTTCCTAGCAGTAAGTAAGAACCCAACTGTCAGTCGATTGCCGGATCACTTTTCGGAACGTAATAATCCCTTCAAAAAACAATAATGCAGTCACCGACAAAATATACAGGTCAATTCACTTTACGGTATATTCTGTAAAGCGCTTTAAGACGTCTCTCCAACATGATAAGGCTCTATAGCAAATGCAAGGATTGTCATTATGACTTTAGAAGTGTAATGACTGTATGTCATAGGGGAATTTATGAGCTGTGGAAAATATGATGCTATGTGCTTTATGGGGTGTTTTTTTAAAAAAAAAATGCAAGCGTAGTAATATACTTGAATGAAATATTACAAAATCTACTTCATTATTCACTAGGAACCGGTTACAGAGCAAGGTGTGGAACAGCCGTGCCAATTACTGAGCACTCGCACTGCTGCTGCCTCTTAGTCACGAACACGCAAGCAAAGCAATCTGCCTTCAGAAAAACGCTGAAATGGCATTTCCAACTTGGCACTGACAGCCTTAAAAGATACCTCGGCACAGTTCCAATCTCGCTCTGTGTAATGGTTTCATTCAGGCCTCGGCGCTGAATTTTATTCAGCCAAGATTAAGAACAACTTTAGAACGTTCATGTTAGCTTCAGATAATGTCGGATGTTTAGAGGAGGATTTACTGCGGCCTCAAAGCTTTTATCATTAGAAGAACTGACACCATACATCATTTTGATGTTAGGACCTAATTTTACTGCAATGTTAGTTCACCCGATGAAGCAAAGCGAAAATAATAACAACAATAATAAAGGCTGCACTTGATATCGTGCCTTACTTATCTCTCGGATATCTGAAAGCACTTCACAGGATTTACTGTAAAGATGCAGCGACGTCATATTTTGCCTGAGAGCAGAAAACTGCTGTTGAAATATGACAAACTTTCTAGTCCGTGTTGTCTTTCAGCCACTCTGCTCCGAAACTCTGGAACACTCTCACCCTCTATCCCATCGCCTTGCCCCATCCTTTCCTATCTTCAGCTCGCGCCTGAAGACCTCCCTATCCGACTGTACCTATAGTTACGTCCCCCTGGCTCAGAGTCGTACTCCGCCATGGTCAAGCACTCTGGGACACTACCTTGCATGAAGGTGCGCTGTGTAAATGGAAGCTGTTGTTGTAGTACATGCAGTAATTGTAGGTTCCAATGCATTTGATTCTGTTGCTTTAACCGATAGGGATATTTGTACCTTTATTGGGAACCAATAAGTAATTGTTTTGCCTGGGCCTGAAGGCATCGTAAATTTCCATTTGTTGTATGTATGCAGTGTGCATTCTTTCTCCTGACGGATGCACCCTGCTTACCTAACACTAATTCCGGAGAATTTAGGTGCAGTTTTTGATGGGAGCCAAGATTTGGGGACCTCAGAGTGTGCCCTGTGGGTACCGCTGGAGTTTAACCAGCTCAAACTACTCAAGTAATCATTGCAGAGCGCTGGTAAGCTTCTGGCTGCTTGTCCAGCAAGGATTACTCCGCAGTTAGGGTTTCATCTTATGAGGAGCCAAGTGGGAAGAATTCCAGCTTCCAGTAACTGCTCTAACTCCTCCAAGTCCTGCCAACAAGCCAGAGCTGACTGTCTCATGATCAACAGTGCCCTGGTGTTCTGCCACACTGCCTGGCTCAGGTATCAGACTTCCGATGACGAGGCTGAAATTATAAACTCATCTCATCTCCTGAGGAACGACTTGGCTTGAGCTCATGCGTTTGACGCCTGGTGCTTCATCTCCATGGTGCAACGTGTCAGTGAGACACCCCCAATGTGACATTCACGCTGCCTGGTTAGGTGGTTCAATGTTTCCTCTCGTAAAAAATAATTTTGCAATTAATTGAATAATTAATTTGTTCACGCAAAGGGTAGTGGAAATCTGGAACTCTCTCCCTCCCCCTAAAGGCTGTGGATGTTGGATCCATTCGCATTTTCAAGACTGAGGTGGATAGATTTTTGTTAGGTCAGGGGATCAAGGGATTATAGGGCAAAGGAGGGTAATTGGAGTTGTGGTGCAGATCAGCCATGATCTAATCGAAAGGCGGAACAGGCTCGAGGGGCTGAATGGCCTACTCCTACGTTCCTATGTGCAGGCGCACACATTCTGAAAGCACCCTCAGATTTCTGGCAAGTTATCAGGAATCCAATACGAAAATTAAAAGTATCTCATGTTTCTTTTCTAGGGCCCCATAAAAAGGCATTATTTATGTTTGCAGAAGTGAAACGATTACAAGTGAATTATCATCTGTCCCGGGAGTGTAAAGAAACCCTCCACACTGTGTATAATACTGTACGATCAGGTTTCCTAAAAGTCAAGACACCTTTAATAGAGCTTTTTGTGTTCAGGAATGGAAAGTTAATCCATTGTGATCCATCCATATGTTTTTCGAGACCAGGGTATCTTGGCCCAGATCAAGGTTTTAAAGAGAGATTATACCATATATGGACAAAAATTACTTCTATTGTACTTTATTTGCAGATAAAAATCAATAATGGATTTCAATAAAGTTAATCCAGATTTGCTTCTTTCCCATTTCAGCGTTCGCTAAATTAGATTGTTAAGGAGAATTGGAACAAACTGAATGAAAGTTAAGTGGTAATGGATGAACACTGTACATTCATATATGCAATGTGTATGTATGTCACTGCACAGTAATGTGTCTTATTAACCCACTGTGGATGGCTGGGAGGTGCATAAAGGTTTTTCTTTTAACTTAACATAACACGAGTTCAGTTCAGAGTGACACTAGTTTGCATCTAGAATCGAAATTTCATGCGTATTTGTGCATTTAAACATAGATTTCAGTAATATGAAATGCATTACAGTGCTACTTTGTTTAAATCAAATTAAATTCTAATTAATTTGAACTATGGAAATACAGGCAAATGAGGCTTGTTGTATCCAGAATGATTCTTCAGTTACATTCTCACCCTCCCCCAGCTTATTAAGAGCTTTGAGACGTCGAGAAGACGTAAAAAGAGCTATATCAAATGCAAGGATTATTGTTATTATTATTTGGTCAATTATTTTCGCCAAGCCTCATCTGGTGCTTCGTCACCTTCACCCCTCCCTCTCCCCCTGACTCGGGGTCAGACTCTGTCACTGTCAAGCGCTCCAGGACCCTACCCCGCACGGAGGGCGCAAAATTTACAGAATTTACAGAAAACTAGCTGCAAAATTAACACTGAAATTTGCTCACTCCAGAAATGCTGGGAACAAAGTCTTCAGTCCAGACCTTGTTGGAATTTCTCTTCCTTGAATGTTCAAGCGCTGCCATCTAGTGTGAATAATTTGTAACGCCTAAAGTGAGAACTTAGAACCCTCCAGATAAAATTGGTCATTAATTTCATGGCTGTTTGGGGTGGCGGGGGGGGGGGGCAATGCTGTGCACAAATTGACTGCCCCATTTGCATACAAATACAGTAACTGCCCTTCAAAGTAACGTGAAGCGTCTTAAGACGTCCTGACGATGTGACAGGATGCTATATTTAAATGCACGCATGATTATTATCCTGGTAGCGTTGGGACATTTAGGCAGTATCCGAAAGCATAATTAGCAACGGCTGCGTCGGCACGGAAGGACAAGATCGAACGGGCTGAAGGGGCTTCTTCCAAATTTCTAGGAGATGGATACAGTAAGCATTCCATGGGACAGGTTCAGTTACCTACAATTTGTAATGAAATCCTTAAATAATAACCCCCGCATTTGATATAGCGCCTTATCGCGCCTTGAAATGTCATTTTATATATTGTCAAATGAATTGACTTGTGTATTTTGTGGGCGAAACGCGGCAGCCAACGGTACAACACAACAGTGTCCCGCAAACATTCATCGGATTGAGTGACCACATTTTTTTTTGAGGGATTGTTACCTTGGAAAGTGATCCGCTATGATTGACTTAACAACCAGGTTCGTACTTACTGCTAGGTAAACAGAGGCGTGCGGAGAAAGGAAACTTGCCTAAGGTTGCCCCTGCCCGGGAATCAAACCCGGGTTCTCTGGCTTGCGAGGCGAGAGCGCTATGCTACAGGACGGCTTATGCAATAAAGGGAGAAAATTGTATTGAAACTGACAGCGAATTCAGCCATAATTGCTGAGCTATGCTGCTGGTGACATTCAGAATGTAGGATGCACCCCAACTCGCAGAAGCGATTTCAACAAATGCTTTCCTTGGAGCACATGAAGTACACATTAAGGTACTATATGGACTCAATCAGTTTGGAATGTGCTTTCCCGTCTGCCCAAACACAGGAATTTCTTGGCAATCGCACAGCAATAGGTCTGTGTGCTCACGAAAGAACCAAATTAAGGCAGAGAAATTGAACGTGACTGCTCCATCTTGGAAGGCTTAAATACACAGCTCAGTATTGTGCGCGAAAAACGCTGAAGAATGCAGGGAGAGTGAAGCCAGCTGGCGGCGAAAGGCCACGTGAAGTGAAAGAGAAGCAAGGCTCAAACCCACTGTCAGTTCATTAATTATTAATTGATGTTTCAGAAGCCACCAACCCGTTTCTTCGCACGTAGTTAGGCAGCATATTTATCTTCCGTAGACATTAATTCCTGGATTTTGCTGCTACGTGTACATTGGTGTGATCTCGTCAGGGATGGATTGCTCTGACATTTCACAACCAATGTTACCAACGTGTGAATGTTCGGCGGGGGTGGCGAAGTATCTCGACGGCTCAGCAGGCCGGAACAGGCTGGCCATCACTTTGTGCTCGTGACTTGCTTTTTATATTAAAAAAATGACCGCAAATATTGATAAAAGCCGTTAGAAAATGTACACAAGTGAAGCAAGGTCAAGGAAGGATTGCAGCACTTTTGGAAGAACAATTCCCTTTGCAATTAGGGATTTTATGACTGGACGCAGCTCAGCATAAGAGAGGTACAATTTGCTCCCGGTGAGTTTGTCAGCCTTGATCAGCTGCAGACTACCGACAATTCATGTGAAGTACTTTAACCATTTTGGTAATTGTACTGCTAACACAACAGAGTAATGTACGCAGAGAGCTAAAGTGGGAAATTAGTTAGAGAACAGATGACAACATGGACGATATAGATACCCTTGACTGAATGTTCACAAGTCTGTCTGTAATGTATGAAGCGCAGCAGGGGATTATCCAGAGTGCTGAGGTGCAAATTTTATTTTGAACAGCCAATTTCGGGCAGCTCTAAATACAAGGACTTACAAGGATTTGAAGGGGGTAATAATTCCTTCAAAATAAATAAAAATTTGGTAACTCAATCCACGACTGTTTGTGGGGACACTGCTGTGCGCAATTGGTTGCCGCGTTTCACCCACAAAATATAGTCAATAAACTTTACAGTATATTCTGTGAAGCGCTTTGAGACGTCTTGAATAAGTGATAAGGCGCTATATCAAATGTGATTATTATTATTATTATTAAGGACTGTGTCTAGCAGTGGTAGCCGTTTTCTGGAGTAAGAGCAAATCCCAATGTTTGTCTTGAACCCACAACCACCTGACGTGGGGGGAAATGTGCTACCAACTGATCCGTGGAATGAGAGTCTGAATTGTTCTCTGCAGCTTATTTTCCAAGCAACTTTCTGGTTTACATCTGGCAAAAAAAATACGCTCCGATATTTGGCTTTTTAACACCAAGGCAACTGGAATTTTTTATTTAAATTGGAATTAAGGTACAGATCAGCCACGATCGAATAGAATGGCAGAACAGGCTCGAGGGACTGAATGGCCTACCCCTGTTCCTATAGAAAGCAGTTAACATTTTTCTACTCCTAATATTTTCTTTGACAAGACTCTGCAAGGTTTTCACGGTAACTTTTTAAAAAACAGTTCTGGAAATAAGCTTTTTATTCCAAATTGAATGCAACAGAAAATCTTTTTTTTTTTAAAAATTCTGTCGTTGTGTCATCCCGATTTTTCCCTCTCACACGTGTAAGATTAAATATAAAAAGTCTTTTGAACAGCACAGTTTGTATCTTACATTTGTGGACTGCTAATGATGATATCAAAGGCATTTCTTTTTACATCATCAAGCCAAAAATCATCAGTACAAACCCAGAGATCTCTCCACAAGAGAGGGTACTGATAACTCTGAATATTTAGAACACGCAACAGTCCTTTTGGATTGATTGTTTCCTGGTCTTTCACTACTTGACTGAAGGCTTCCTTACAACTTCCTTCAATTTTGTCGTTTTTGTTGCCTTTGCAGCTAAAGACTCGGGCGACTCATTGACAGTCTTCTCTGGGGACACCACCTTGAATGTGATTTCATCATCAGGATCATTGTCGTCCACCTTCAAAGATTTCCGTCGTCTTAGAACAGCAGGCGTGCAGACAGGTGTCGGATCCTGAGGAAAGCGGGAAGACAGGCCCGTCAATAATAATTATGTCCCGTTTTCTCTCACTCCTCACGGAGAGGCATTCCAATCAGGAGCTCAAGACGCTACACCACCAAACTTCAAAATACTGGAATCTACACTCCCCACAATAGTTTAACTCTACTGCGACTGTTACAAGCTACGTTTGGAGATCAATAACAGTGGCCGTCACATAGAACTGTGAATTCACCGGTTATTCTAGCAAGTGGGGACGTTGCGTTGGAAAATTAGCAGCAAAGGATTAAATGTTTGTCCTATATAACATGAAATAACTCATTTCTTGTCCACATCAAACGAAAGACAATCCAGTACAGCTGATATATTCACTGTTGAATTCGACATCCACCAAGAGCCTGAATCATAACCAGAACATCTTAATTATATTAAATCACAGACACTGAGTGAGACTCTCTCTCAATCCCTCCATCTTGCCCCCTCCTCCCATTTTCGAACTGCACCTAAAGACCTTTTTGATCGCGCTTACGGTCACCTCTCCCCCTGGCTCGGGGTCAGACTCCGCCGTTGTCAAGCGCTCCAGGACGATAACCAGTGTGACAGGCGCTATACAAATGCGAGTTGTTGTTGAGACAGGAAAACATGTAAAAACATGGCAGTAAATTAACAGGGGATGAAATGGAAAGAAACTAAATCCAATTCTGTTCTTCAGGTGAACATTAAAAGATCCCATGCTATAAACATTCCATAGAACTAGACATTCATTTCCATGTCCAGTTATGTTTGGATAAGGAAAGATTTCAGCTTACCTGACTGTTAAGTGACTCATTAATTTTCTTTGAGGTTTTCTTTGAGGTTTTCTTTTTCTTTATCTTTTTGGGGATTACTGCAGCCTGAAGGAGAAGATATGGCAAAGTATTAAATTGTTCAGCCTTAACACTGCTCAGTTATCCCACTTGCTGACTCAGTGCATTGTAGTTTGTGGCCCTCAAAGCAAAGTATTGATCCAAAGGGCTTTGCAATTAACTCATGTGTAGATGGGATGCATGGGTTTCTCAGTTTAATTTGGTTTGGATACTCTTAAGCATTAAGTGGGTTTCCAGGACACCTGGCTGACCCCTGAAAAAAAAAACTTGTGGATGCACGCATGTTTAATTTGCAGTAATTTCTGCACTTTTGCAGGTTTACTAACATTGAGATCCCAGTGATCTGTGATGAGGGGAACGCTAGTTTTTATTTGCAATAAGTTAAAAGGTATTAAAAAGTAAAGACGGCCAATAAATGCATAACTAAAAAATCTAGCGCCCAACCATCAGATCACTGACCTGCTCCACTACCAAAGAAGTGATTGCCACCCCAACAAATCGTGATTAAAACTAAAACTTACAAAACCAGGAAAGTCATAGTCGATTCCTTTCTCCGCCAGCCTTTTCCGCAAGCGCCCTTCCTTCTCGATAAGATTGGTTGCCATCTTCTCCTGGTCCTTTTGGTTTCGTTTCTTATTGTAACGGCCCACTGCTGGGTAGATAGGCTTCGTGAAAAGCTTCTCGCTACCTTTAAAAAGTTGCGGGTGGATTTTTTCTGGTGGTAGAACCTGACCTAAATTGTGAAAACAACGACATACTGAATGAACTAACAATGGCTCCCGAGATGCTACGTGCTGCAAAGTTCCTTGGCTGAAAGACCAGGAATGCGATTCGCTTCCAAGCCCCGGCCGCATGCCTGGAACCCACGTGAAAGTTGCCTGGCTACCGGCTCAGTGACAAATTGGCTTTCCTCAAATATATGATAATATACTTATCCTGAAATTCCACCTAATCTTACCCATTTCCTTTTAAAATTTCCATTTTTAATTAAAATTTAAGAAACATCAGCCAAGTTTCCTTACTCCACACGCCTCTATTTACCCAGCAGTAAGTAGGAATCCGGTTGTTAAGTCGATTATCGCATCGCTTTCTGGGGGCAATAACCTCTCAAAAGAAATTGGTCACTCAAACCACAACCGTTTGTGGGACACTTCTGTGTGCAATTGGCTGCTGCGTTTCACCCACGAAAAATACACATTCAATCCACTTTACAATATATTCTGTGAAGCACTTTGAGATGTCTCAATGACATAAGATTCTATATCAAATGCAAGGATTATTGTTATGATTCCTAATCTTACTCATTTTCCCTTAAAATTTAAGATTGCACGAAATTGTGGAAAATGCTACATATAGTTCTATCTTAATCTGAAAGGAGGTCTTCAGTGGTTCTTAAAAAGAGAGGACTTGCAAATTAACTCCGATATTTAACGATTTTCCACAATACTGCAAAATCTCAATTTTTTTTTAAAAAACAGACAAAAATGGTCTCAAAAACAGGTTAAGACTAGGTGGAATTTCAGGGCTACGATTCTCACCTCTCTGCCTGATACTCAAAACTCCATCGCATGAGGCAACAACATGCAATCAAGATATTTTATGGATTCTCTGGCACACCCGAGGTATCATTTCCACCGCAATTACAAAATTCCGTATTAAAATTTATTCCCTAATGGTAAACAGTAGTGTTCTAAATCCTCTCTCCCCCACCCCTACGATAGAAGTACAGCACTGGTCAGAAAGGGTACATGCGCCACACACATTGATACACCACTTTTAAAACAGTGCCAAAAACTTACATTTCAAGAGTCTTTCTCCAAATAAATAATTGTTCATGGTTTCCGCAACAATTCTGGCAACTTCATCACAGTCAAACTCCACAAAAGCATAGCCTTTGCTGTTACCAGTCTGTGGGTGTAAAAACAATAATAACAGGTTAGGCTGAGCACTTGAGCAGTAGCAAGGTTAAGGAATATAGCTCTTCAAGAAGCACTGTGGCTCAGATCAGGATTTGTAGCTTCTTCAAATCAAAGCCAGCAAATTGGAAACTCTTTTATACCGTACATTTAAAGTCATTAATGTGTTAATGACTGGAGTTATTAGTTATTAGCTGGAGTTAGATTAGAAGATCAGCCATGATTGAATGGCGGGCGGGGCAGGCTCGAAGGGCCGAATGGCCTACTCCTGCTCCTACATGTTATGTTATGTTAATTCTACCTGAACAGCATTTAGTTAACTCTCACCATTGCCAGCATTTTTTTAATAAGGACTTTAACAACCATTTTTCTTCTACTGTATAAAGGGTTCAATTCTTACTCGTTTTCTTATACAGTAAATCTCACAGAAGGTGCATCATTTGGGCCAAATGACTAAGTATAGAACTTGTATAGACCATAAACTCTTGAACGGGACTTGAGAAAATTTACAATTTAGGCAATTATACAATTTATACAGGTAAGACTTATCTGAGTTTTACTGTAATAATAATTTACTGTAATAAAATCTGAGTTTTATAGTATAGGGAAGGAGATTGCACTTTAACAGTCTCCAGCTGACACGTTGCCATAGATTTGCAAAGAAATGTTAAACTTTACTGGAGAAAGTTATTGTATTAAAGATTAATAAAATCCAGTTTTGTGGATCAGAACTTTTAAAACGCAGTCACGTAATAATATATAATAATCCTTGCATTTGATAAAGCGCTTTTCACGTCTTCTCGACGTCTCAAAGCGCTTCACAGAATAGACTGTAAAGTGAATTGACTGTAATTTGTCGGCGAAACGCGGCAGCCAATTGCGCACAGCAGTGTCCCACAAACAGTCGTGGATTGAAATGACCAATTTATTATTGTTTTTTTTTTGAGGGATTATTATCAGGAGTGTGGAGTAAGCAAACCAAGGTTTCGCCCTGTGCCGGGAATCGAACCCAGGTCTCTTGCTTGTAAAGCGAGCGCTCTAACCACTGAGAGCTACGTATGGGTTCATGCAAAGCAGGTGGTTACCTTTTTACTTCGAGAGAGTCGGACTCTGTTGACCGTTCCAAACTGGCTGAAGTATTTCTTGATCTGAGGCTCAAAGAAGCCTTTCGGAACATGTCCCAGGTAGATCACACCCGAGGCCATCGGTCCCATCTTAAGAAAGTTATTATAATAAGATTAGACAGTAAATAATCCGTGCGTTTAATACGGCCCCTTATCACCCCGGCGAGACATCTCAAAACGCTTCACAGAATATATTGTCAAGGGAATTGACTTAATATTGTGTGGGCGAACCACAGCAGCCAATTGCGCACAGTCCTGGATTGAGTGAGTTACCAAATTATTATTTTTTTGGAGGGATTATTACTCCCGGAAAGTGATCCGCCAATTGACTCGCAAGACACCGCCCCCTCACTACGCCACCGTATATAACACAGCCCCTTCCCCCTATATAATACAACCCCTCCCCACTATATGGAGTCCTGTAGCTCAGTGGTTAGAGCACTCGCTTTGCGAGCGACAGACCTGAGTTCAATTCCAGGCAGAGGGCGAAACCTTGGGCAAGTTTCCTTACTCCACACAGAGCCCTAATAATAATCCCTCCAAAACCAAAAACAATAATAAATTGGTCATTTTCAATCCACGACTGTTTGTGGGACATTGCTGTGCGCAATTGGCTGCCGCGTTCGCCCACAAATATACAGTCAATTCACTTTACAGTGTGTTCTGTGAAGCACTTTGGGACGTCCTCCCGACGTGAAAAGCGCTATATCAAATGCGAGGATTATTATTATTATTATATAACACAGCCCCCCCCACCCTTATATATAACAGTCCTCTCACTCTCCCCCCCCCCTCGTCTCCCTCCTTTCTCTCCCCATCCACTCTCTCCCTCCTGTCTCTCTCTCCCCCCCACACCCTCTCCACACCCTCTCCCCCATCACTCTCCCCCGCTCTCTCCCTGCCCCCCCCGCGCTCCCCCCCCTCTCCCCCCACACACACTCTCCCGCCCCCCCCTCTCCCCTGCCCCCCCCGCGCTCTCCCCCCCCGCGCTCTCCCCCCCCCGCGCTCTCCCCCCCGCGCGCTCCCCCCCCGCGCGCTCCCCCCCCTTTCCCCCCCCCCGCGCTCCCCCCCGCCCCCCCCACACCCTCTCCCCCCCCCCGTGGCTGAGGCGCTTCAGGCGGGGCGGGGCGGGGCGAGGGCCTGGACCACGCGGCGATGGCGGCCTCTCTCACCTCCTCCTCCTCCTGTTGTTGCTGTTGTTGCTGCTGCTGCTGCTTCTTCTTCTTGTTCTTCTTGTTCTTCTTCTTCATCCCCTGCAGCTTCTGCTGGAACTCGGCCTGGAGCCGGGGGTCCAGGGACAGCAGGTCCCCGGGAGCCGGGGTGGGGGCAACCGCCGCCATGTCTCTCAGCGTCGCGTCGCCTCGCGCTGCCGTCCAACCAACCGTCCGTCCGCCCAACCGTCGCGAGGAAGCGACGAGGCGTCGCAGGAGGAGCAAGAGGCTCCCTCCCTCCTCTCACTCCTCTCCTCTCACAGCGCCCCCTACCAGGATTGGAGGACCCCTCTCACTGTTGCCCAATTTTTGGTGGCACTGTCCTGTTGGGTTTTTTTTTGTTGCATATATGTGTGTGTGCACCAAATGCAGTGGTACTTATCAATGTATAGTAATATTTATTACATAATTGCAATGCAGAGCAATAGTTCTATCCGCAGGAATGATTATAATATGGAGTGATAATTCTGTGTGCATAATAATTATAATATAGAGCAATAATTCTATATACAGACAATTATAACATAGAGTAATAATTATATATGCATAATAATTATAATATAGAGTAATAATTCTATATACAGACAATTATAACATAGAGTAATAATTATATATGCATAATAATTATAATATAGAGTAATAATTCTATACGCATAATAATTATAATATGGAGTAATAATTCTATGTGAATAATAATTATAATATATAGTAATAATTCTATATACAGACAATTATAACATAGAGTAGTAATTATATATGCATAATAATAATATAGAGTAATCTACATGCATAATAATTATAATGTATAGTAATAATTCCATATACAGACAATTATAATATAGAGTAATAATTCTATATGCATAATAATTATTATATAGAGTAATAATTCTATATACAGTCATAATTATAATATAGAGTAATAATTCTATGTACAGTCATAATTATAATATAGCGTAATAATTCTACATACAGTCATAATTACAATATAGAGTAATAATTCTATATACCGACATAATTATTATATAGAGTAATAATTTTAATATATACAATAATAATGATATATTCATCGGTCACTTTTTAATGCTGTATCATTAGAATAATCCTTGCATTCTGATTTTTTTAGTGTATCCAACGACAATAATAATCCTTGCATTTGATATAGCAGTTTATCGGATTTTCAGACGACTCAAAGCGCATCACAGAATATGCTGTAAAATGCATCGACTGTATTTTGTGGGCTAAACGCGGCAGTGAATTAGCAGACGGCAGTGTCCCACAAACAGTCGTGGATTGAGCGACCAAATCATCACTCAAGTGAAAGCTAGGGTTTGGTTATCTTTGGGCTACAAACACCCTTTAATTTCTGGCAACCTTGCTTTCTGCCCTGTCAAATCCATAGCGCTCCTCTGTGGCGAAATCCAACGACGACGGCGTCGTTTCACGCTTTCACGTCTCAAACCGCTTTGCGGGATTCCACTGTGAAGAGTAGATAACCCTATTTGCTATCCCGAGCGTAAGGATTTTCATTATTATTAAGGCAGTCAAGAGCACACTGCAACAAATGACGTTGTCGGCACATTTATTTTCGCAGCAAATTAAACCACCAGCTAAAACTGTTCAGCCCACAACGCTAGGAATAAAATAACAGTCCCTTATTCCTCCATACTGGCAGAGCATCTTCTAACTGCTGAGAAGCTATTAATCCTCAGCGTCTGCAACAACCAGAGGTCCCAATGGCTCTCTCTATCACGTGTGCCTCTCTCTCTGGGCTTTTGAATCCCAGCGTCTCTGTCTGTGCCACTCAATCTTGATTGCTCAGCGCACATCATCCTTCCCCTCCTATCCTTGCTCTCGCTCCCTGCAGTCAGTCAGGTAATCACCTGCTGCCTCACAGACCTTTTCCGGCAGATTAACAGCACCTTTCAACCTTAAGACTGTTCTCCCGCCCAGACCAGTCATGGCAGCTAAAATAATTTATTTCACGGTGCACGCCAGACCTGAACAGGCAGAATTTCGCAGCGACTGTCCAGCCCAAGATGTCAAAGGTAGGAGAAGTTTAACTCAGGGAATACCCAATGCATGAGATTGTATCATTTCAAGTCCTTATTCCCCCATCCCGAGTTTTACCCCGAGGGGCATCTGCACTCAAATTGAAAGAATAAGATGAGAAAGTAGTCAACATATGAGAGAAGCATTTAAGCAGAGACCTTCTGAGAAAGTCGCGATGCTCCCACTAAACATTACCTGTTCGTTCTGTGGTGTAACAGTGCTCTGTACACTGGCAGCCTTGGGTTCTGATTGAGCCCGAGGATGTAAAAATTATGTAGATTGTGTTTATTATTATTATTAATAATAATAATCCTTGCATTTGGTATAGTGCCTTAGCAATTCGTTGAGACATCTCAAAGTGCTTCACGGGATTCACTGTAAAGTGAATTGACTGAATATTTTGTATATTCCCTTTACTGTTGTACTTTTGCAGAGTTTTCATCGCATTATTATGAAATGAATAACAATCCTGGCATTTGTCAGCCTGGCTCAGTTGGTAGCACTCTCGCCTCTCAGCCAGAGAGACTGTGTGGGTTTGTAGGGATGTTGAGTTTAGGCTGATATACTGCAATACTGTACAGTGTTTGGGGAGGGGGGGGGAGTGTTGCATTCTGCAGATCAGATGTGCCGTCCTGCAGATCAGATGCCCCAAACCACGGTCCCATTGGTGCCAACAGATGAACGTTAGTGATCCCACTGCAGTTTTCGAAAAGTGAAAGGAGTTTCACCTGATGTCCTGGTTGACAGTTCCCCAGATAAAACCGGTCATTTACTTTATGGCTGTTCGTGGGACATTGAGGTGCACAAATTGGCTGCCCCGTTCGCCCACAGAATATGCAGTCACTGCACCTTACGGCAAACCCTGCGAATCGCTTTGAGACATCCTTCCAATGTAAAAAGGCGTTGTGTCAAATGCATGAATGGGTTCTGATTAGTTATCCTGACCTTTTGAGCGAACCGAATGCTTTTCCACAGAGACCCGAACATCTCGATCTATTTGCCAGTAGCGTCAGTGAATTGGGGGCTTGCTGCATTGGTGGCCAGCACGAAATCAGATGCGTCAGAACAGACCAAACATCTATTAGCTTCTTTGATTCAAATAAACATTAAGGGCCGTGTGGCTAGCTAAATCAGTTGAATGCAAATTAATTCTATTGTATTTAGTTGCGAAAGCTTTCAGTTACCAGGCCCGGTTTCCACTGGCTTTTCTCTTCCTGCTCACTAATTATCGTGTCAAGTTGAATGGCACCTGTTGAAAAGAAATGAAGGAACAAAAAAAAAAGATCCCATCGCACAACGCAAGTCCTAAGTATTGGCTGTCTGATTCTGATGCAAGCGGATTGACAGTCTTTTTTCATGTACCTTGGCGGACATCGATTATGTTTTTGCTGCGTGGGTGCTGTGGGTGAAAGTGCGGGGAGAAAATAGTCTCCCCATTGTGCACTGAGCAAGTGTGGGCATTAGTTTGGCTCAGTATGGTAGCACTCTCGCCTCTGCATTAGAAGATTGAGAGGAAAAGCCACTCCCTCTGTTAGGCACTTGGCTCATAATGACACTCCTGCACAACGCTGTGTGGTCAGAGGCACTCGCCTCGCAAGCGAGAGGACCTGGGTTCGATTCCCAGGCAGGGTGGCATTCGGGCAAGTTTCCTTACTCTACACACGTGCCTCTGTTTACCCGGCAGTAAGCAGGAACCCGGTGGTCAGTCGATTGGCGGATCGCTTTTCCGGGGGTGATAATCCCTTCAAAACAAAAATAAAATAAAAAACGTAATAATTTGATCACTCACTCCACGACTGTTTGTGGGACACTGCTGTGCGCAATTGGCTGCCCGGTTTCGCCCACAAAATACACAGTCAATTCGCTTTGCGGTATATTCTGTGAAGCGCTTCGAGTCATCTCGCAGACGTGATAAGACGCTATATCAAATGCAAGGATTGTTATTATCATTGTCAGATGTGTGAGCTTTGGATAAGGCGTTAAACTGCTTTGTTTTGAAATTGTGACTCAATTTGTGGATTTTCAAAAGCATTAGGTTTTATGACAGCGCTACTACAGGTCTGAAATTTCAGGCATCGGATATCAGATGTAATATACATTGTATTGCTACTAATAGTACAGTAGTACTAATTATACTGCCAGGGTCCAGTTATGATCCTTCTCGCTGCACCTTTGGCAATACTTGCCTTTCTATCTGCCTCAGTGCCATTCTGTTGCACTCCACCTCTGTGACCTCTACTACTTGGCTGTTCCTCTACTACTTGGCTGTTCCCTCCACTAACACCAACCTGCGTCATGTCTCTTGCCTGAACGATGGCCGATCTTTCAGCCATTCTGCCCCCGGGGACACCATCTCGGAGTTCCTCTGCCTCACCCCCTCCTGCCCCACTTTTAAGACCAGCCTTACATACGACCATTTATTTAATATGTGTATTTTTGGTTAAAATTTACTCCTGAAAGTTTGGGGTTCAGGTGTAATTTTCTCCACTTTATCATCTGTCTACTGTAAGCCACGCTCATTAAACAAAAGCTGAGCAGCTTCTTACATCGTGCCAAGGAGGTAAATTAACATAAAGTCATCGAGTGTAGATGGCTTAATTTACTTCCAGAGATCTGGAGTGAGTTAACAGCAATAAACTTTCTATTTATAAATGGCACACTGGCGGTAAACATTAAGCGGCTTGATTAATTGATCGAACTGTTGAAGTCATGGTGAGGATTCTGTTCTACACGAATCCTTGTGGGCACGACTGCCTTATAATGACGGGGTTTCAACAGTTGACTGGATTGCTGAATTCTGTACGGGTGCGTCCCATAACATTTGTGTACGTGCACAACGGCAACAGCTTGCATTTACACAGCTCCCTTCAGGTCAGAGAGCAGGTCAGGGAGGTAGGGGAGGTGCCAGGGCGTGAAGGGATTTGAAGACGAGAGTGAGAGGATCTTCGAATCAATCCGATCGGCGATAGCGAGCAAGTGGATGGACAATCAATTGTGATGGACAATTGGTGCTGTACAAATGCCCTGTGAGACATACGAATGAGCCATCTCTGCAAACCTAAGTACTACGAGGAAATATACGAGTAAAATTGCTTTACGTTTCATATTATCACCTTTTGCATTTTTTTAGTTCATCCTGGGCCTTCGGTCTGAGTACAACAACAACAACAACTTGCACTTACAAAGCGGGCTCCATGCAGGGTAGAGTCTCAGAGCGCTTAACGGTGACGGAGCTTGACTCCAAGCCGCGGGTGGGGGCGGGGGGGGGCAGGGGAGGTGGCTGTAAGCACGGTCGAAGAGGAAGATTTTCAGGCGGGACATGAAAAAGGGGAGGGAGGGAGGGGGCAAGACAGAGGGAGGGAGCAAGGCGGAGGGAGGGGGCAAGGCGGAGGGAGGTGGCAAGGCGGAGGGATTGAGGGAGGTCTCAAACAGCCTTGTGACAAAAAGACGGGCTGAATGTTCTCCTTATTTTCCTGCGCTTTCTATGTTTTTTGGGCTCAGAGAAGCGATGCAAATATTAACGATGAAAATAAACTTTTCTTTTAAGAAGATGACACGTCGCCTCTTCAAGACGAGTGCTCGCTTTGCGAATGGCAAATTGGAAGGCTTTGGCAACAGCAAACCTTTTTTTCCCCTCTAAAACTGGAAAAGAAAATTGGAGATGAAAAACGTACAGAACTCAGGATCTCTTCGCTCTCAGCTTGGTAGCAGGCAGGCTGACATAATTACCTGGTGCCAAAAAAGGGCGTCAGTTTCACCTGAGATATCCACAGCTGCCACCAATTATACAGAAAACATCCAATTATTTTCAGCGTGCGGAGGAAAAGGGCAGAAATTCCACCTGCATCTTGATTTGTTCCATTCGTGTGGCATTTCACTTTGTGGCTGTGTGTGTGGGGCTTGATCTGTGCGTAAATTGGCTGCCGCATTTCACCTACAAAAATGCACACTGGCTACACAACCTATATTATCATTATTACAATAATAATATAATAATAATAATAATAATGAAGCGTCTCAAAACACTTCACAGAATACACAGTGAAGCGAATGGACTGCATTTTGAGGGTGAAACCCGGCAGCCAATTGCACACGACAGTGTTCCATAAAAAGTCATGGATTTGAGTGACCACATTTTCTTTATGTGGGGGGGGGGGGATTTATTATCCCTTGAAAGCAATCTGCCAATCGACTGACAACCAGGTTCCTACTTACTGCCAAGTGAACAGAGGCGTGTGGAGTAAGGAAACTTGCCTAATTATTATTATTATTATTATTATTATTATAAGGTTTTGCTCTGCCTGGGAATCAAACTCAGGTCCTCTCGCTTGAAAGGCGAGTGGTCTAACCACCACGCTACAGAACTCCACATTGCAATATTTCCTGCGAAGGGCTTCGAGACGTTCTCCCGACACAAAAGCCACGTACCTCTGTTTCTGTTTGTTTTGCAGAGGTGTTCCGAGCAGCAGCTGAAGCCGGGCCTCACGACATCCTGAAATTGTACAACACAAAAGGCAGCATCATAAACATTTCGCCAAATCTCGAGGCTAACACCCTGCAAACGCGATACAAACTGGAGGTGGTCGCTGTTGACTGCAAGAGCGAGGTCATAGGTAAGCCATGAGACCAAGGCATCCGTACAGTGTAGCTTAACACTATACAGCACAGCTCAGCATTATACAGTGCAACTCAACACGACGCAGCACAGCTCAGTACCCCGAGGTGTGTGGAGTAAGTAAACTTGCCTGAGGTTTCGCCCCGCCAGGGAATCGAACCAAGGTCCTATCGCTTGCAAGGCGAATACTCTCACCACTACGCTACAGGACTCCACAAGTCACCGAGTAACTGTAACATGGAAGAGTGCCCCAAAATTTAGAGCAAATACAAGAAACCGAAGGTTTATACGTTGGCCACAGGAAAGTAAAGGTCGCTCTGATTAATTTGCAGGTTTGGACTTGGCTGCAGCATTGGGGATTGACCTGTGTGCTATGGAGAAAAGGTCCGTCATTCATGTCATTTCTATGTGTTATACCATTCGGGACGCAGAACAAGCTAATAATAAATAAATCATCCTTACATTTGGTGTAGTGCCTTTCACATTGGGAGGACATCCCATACCGTTTCATTGGATGTACTGTGAAGTGCAGTGACTCCGTGTGTGTTTGTGGGTGAACTCAGCAGTTACGTTGTGCACTGCAGTGTTTCACGTTCAGCCATGAAGTGGGTTTCAGAATCGAGCCCGCACGCTAAGGCGGTCTCTAGTCTGAGCCAGGCGGGTCCGCAGTAGTCCAGCACAGCACAGCCCAGCCTGGCTCATCGGCAGGACATGGAAGGGCAGACCAGTCACCGCGGGCAGGGAATCATCCCACTCTGCTCCTGTTAATCCTGCAAGCCAAAGCCTTGAAGGGTAGGATGGCCCGAGCTGGACAAACAGCGGGAAAGCTTGTCAGACAGTGATATTAATGGCCCTTTGCCCTCTCCCCGCACCCCAGGTTACAAGAACTGGAGAAGAAAGTTTTGGGAATGACTGGTGCGATGCCGTCCATTGTGTACGAGATGAGAAATCGCGTAGAAACATTTCGGGAGAAGCTTGAGGTGAGATGATTCCATTTCACACAATCCTGATAACGGGTGGTGGCTTGGGGCTAAATTGTAGTATTTCTTAACAGGATTCCTTTTCCCAATCTCAGTCCTACCAAACATCAGGAACCTCAGCAGCAGAAATAAATTGTGAGCAAGGTTCCCCATTCCCCATGGTGTTATTAATAATAATAATAATGATAATAATCCTTGCTTTTGATATAGTGCCTTATCAAATCTTCGAGACATCTCAATGCCCTTCACAGAATATCCTGGGTTCCTACTTACTACTTGGTGAATATAGGTGTCTGGAGTAAGGAAACTTGCCTGCGGATTTTCATGGGAGGAATTAGGAACCCGGTTGTCAGTCGATTGGCGGATCGCTTTCCGGGGCTAATAATGCCTCAAAAAAAAATGTGGTCACTCAATCCGCGACGGTTTGTGTGACACTGCTGTATGCAATTGACTGCCGTGTTTCCCCCACAAGTACACATTCAATCCACTTTACAGTATAATCTGTGAAACGCTTTTAATTTGTTTCTTCTATGTGATAAGGTGCTATATCGAATGCAAGGATTATTATCATCATTATTATTATTATTGCAAGACTGCGATCACAGCACAAGTAACTTGTTGCCGTCTCGTTGTTTCCTTATTTAGAGTGTCGAGCACCTCAGCTGGCTGGGATTATTTAAAGAGCTGACAGAAGGTACGGACAAACTGTCCCACTTCTATCACAACCGCCCCCTCCGAAAATCCGAGGAAGAGTGTCAGCAAGTGCTGGAAAAGTACCTGCAAATGAGGTATAACGTGAGTTTCAGAGAAATCAAGTTGCTGACACCACGGAATCACAGAATCCTACACCGCAGAAGGTGGCCATTCGGCCCATCTCTTTGAAAGATCTATCCAACCGAGCCCCACTCCCCTGCTCTTTCCCCACGGCCTTGCAATTTATTTTCCTTTTCAAGCATCCAATTCACTTTTGAAGGTGATTATCGAATCTGCACGCATCACCCTCGCAGGCAGCGCATTCCAGGTCGTAACAAACTCGTTGTGCTAAAAAAAACTGTCCTCATCACCCCTCTGATGTTATTATTATTAATATTAAGTTGTTTAACTATTTGAAAGGCATTATATAACTTTAATGTTGTTGATGTAGTTATAAACGGATTTCCAACCATTGAAATATCTTGCTCTTCACATCTGTCGTGTACACTTATGTGAAGTGACATCTTTAATGTACAGTTTGTCTGATTCCTCTTAAATGCAGCACTCTGGAAGTTACAAAGGACGTCAAACAGTATCTAAAGACACCGACATTTAATAACTGGTACGTAAGTATTTTCGTTCCCGATTCCAGCAAATGGATTTATTTATTATTTAACCTGACATTAATTTGCTCCTTAATTAGCTGAACGAAAGCATCAAAAAGCAATCATTCTGCTCTGCTCTGTATCTTTCATCTCTGCGTTAATGAATGCGTGAATTTTATCGCGCGCATCGGAGACCTGAATTTCAACCTAGTCTCAGCCTCGTGTAAGATCGCTTTGTCTCGAAATTCAAGGTAATGAAAAATTGTGGAAAATATTTAAATTTAGTGCTATCCTGAAAGTTGGTTTTACCAGGCAAGTCAAAACTTTAGGCAAGATTCCTTACTCCACACGCTTCTGTTCACCTAATAGTAAGTAGGAACCTAGTTTTTAGTGATTGGCGGATAGTTTTTTGGGGGTAATAATCCCTCCCCAAAAAACATGTCATCAATCAGTCCACGACTGTTTGTGGGACACTACTGTGTGCAATTGGCTGCTGCATTTCTCCCATAAAATACATAGTCAATTAGTTTTACAATACCGTGAAGCGCTTTGAGACATCACAACAATGTGATAAGGAGCTACATAACTGTCAAGTGAGATTGCCTTGAGATGCGTTCCAAGCTCGACTGTCCTCAGCTGCTGATGGCAGTGAAAAGGATGAGTTAAGTGCACACCAAGCTCGGAGGAAAAAGCTCATCGCTTCCTACCATTATCCCAGAGATACTAATTTTAATATCGCATCATTTGAGGCAGCAGCTGCACCTGCTGATTTAATGTGAAGATTATGTGGACCTCCAAAGTTCTGCAGATGCTGAAGTAGCAGTTGAAGTGCCCCTGGTTAACATATGCCTTTTTAATCCACAATGCAAACCACTATTCGTATGTAAAAAGTTCTGCTGGCTGCTTCTGTGTCTCAATGATTTTGGAGTTGAAAGAAAATACTGCTATCTTATCATCATAATAATAATCCTCGCATTTAATATACAGCAGCATCTTGCATTTATATAGTGGGGTAGCATCTTGAATAATAATTACAGCACCTTATCATGTCATTGAGTTGACTTAAGGAGCTTCACAGAATATACTGTGAAGTGAATTGACTGTATATTTTGGCGAAAAGCGGCCACCAATTGTGCAAAGCAGCGTCCCACAAGTAGTCGTGGATTGAGTGACCAAATTATTATTATTGTTTTTTGAAGGGATTATCACTCCCAGAAAGTGCCAATCAACTCACAGCCAGGATCCTACTTACTGCTAGGTAAACAGCGGTGTGTGTGGAGTAAGAAACTTTTCTAAGGTTTCGATGCACGCGGGAATCGAACCTAGGTCCTCGTGCTTGCTCGTGAGTGCGATAACCGCTACGAAATTGGACCCCAGTACGGTGCCTTTCACGTTGGGAGGATATCTCAAAGCGCTTCGCAGGATACACTGTAAAGGGTGTTTTCACAAATGAGTGTGTGTGTGAGGGAGGTGCGGTGGGTGGGGGGGGGGGGGGGGGAGAGAAGTGGAACAGGAAAGCAGTTTATTTATCAACGAGGAACAAAACAAAACAAAACCTGCTAATAACGTAATAATAATGTCCTTTTTTTTAGTGAAACCATATCCTATATAAACTGCGTGGCGTTTCGGTTTGGGTGAGCTGTTTCCTCTCAAAGCTCCTCTCGCTGTTCGCAGACACTTTAAAAAAAAAATCGCCTCGAAACCGCAGTTAATTAGGAGGGGTATTTTTTGTTCTAAACGCACACTTAAACGTCATGACATTGGATGAAAGCAGCTCTGCCTTTTTGCAATTCACAACATCACTGCTACCAAAGCGAGAGCTGGGTTGAATTCACCAATGTCTCCGGACCGCTAGCTTTCAGCCGTCACACTGCTTAAGTGCAAAGTGATCAAAGACCTATGTGCGAGCCTCCTCCTTTCATATTTATGAGGGGTGCAGCAGAGAGAAAATAGGAAGTTAAATAGATCTCAGACTGATTTCCATTAGGAGAGCTCTTAGCTTGCGGTGTCCTGTTTCGCTTAACAAAAGCCCAAATAACAACAAGGCCAGATAACATTGATATTTTTCAATGATCTACCAAAGTGCGTGGTATCTTTGAAGTCCGTTTGCACCGAAAAAAATCCCTTTAATTCAGATACTGTGTTTTCAAAGCACTTTTTTCTCTTTGATGAGCCTTCCCCAGAGTGATATGTACGTTTAGGAGTTCAGCAAAACGCTCGCACCAAGAGGCTTTCTCGTTTCTTTATGAGGAGAGAAGGAAGAGAAGAGAAGGGAGCAATAGTGGATCAGGCATTACAACGTTCAGGATTTTTTCAACGCAGTACCCGAACTCTGACATTGGATTCCTGTAGCATATTGGTTAGCACGCTCGCCAGTTAAGCAAGTTTCCTTAATCCACACAGCTCTGTTTACTTAGCAGTAAGTAAGTCGATTGTTAGTCGATTGGTGGATCACTTTCTGTGGGTAATAATCCATCGTGATCGCTCCAATCCACGTCTGTTTGCAGGACAATCGCTGTGGCAATTGGGTTCCGCGTTGTGTCCACAAAACAATTTACTTTGCAGTAAGCGCTTTGAGATGTCTCAACAACACTAAATGAAATGCAAGGATCATAATTATTATTAATATTATTATTATTACTGCAGTCATTTTACAGCAACTTAAGTGATGAGGCTCTGTGCTGATCAAGAGCGCAGGCTCAACTGTGTTGTGGGGCCCGTCTTGACTTGCAATGATGGCTACATCAGGGTAATGGAAATCTGGAACTCTCTCTCTCTCTCGCCCAAAAGTCTGTGGAACCATTCCAATCTTCAATGCTGAGGTGGATAGATTTTTGTTAGGTCAGGGTATCAAGAGATAATAATAATAATAATTAATGACAATAATAATCGTTGCATTCAATATAGTGCCTTACCACATCTTTGAGACGTCTGAAAGTGTTTCACAGAATACACTGTAAAGTGAATTGAATGTGTATTTTGTCAGCGGCAATTGGAGTTGAGGTACAGGATCAGCCTTGATCTATGATTTTATTTTGGGGAGGACAAATTTGCAAGCCTCTGGGGAGAGCGCGGGGGAGTGGGATTAATTTGGACAGCTCTTTCAAGAGCTGGTATGGGCTCGATGGAACCGAACGGTCTCCTTCTTGTGCTGTATAATTCTATGATGATAGAAAAAGGCTAGAGGGGCTGAAAGGTCTACTCCTGTCCCTATGGACATTACTTGCTCCTCTCTGCTTTTTGCCGGTCAGGCAGTGGGAAGATGCCGAGATGATGGTCTTGCTTCAGCTGATGTACACGGACCTCGATTTCACGACCAAGTTCAACATAGAGATGGAAGTCCTGCAGCAGTTCCTCTCCGATGTCTATCGCCATTACAACAACATCCCCTTCCACAACTTTAAGCACTGTTTCTGCGTCACTCAGATGGTGAGATGCTGCAGCAATGGGGCGATGGGTTGAATCCGGCCGGGTGTCAGCCTGGCTCAGTCGGGAACCCTCTCACCTCTGGGTCAGAAGGTTGTGGGTTCAAGCCCCCCCCACCCACGGCGGGACTTTGAACTCACAGCCCTTGGTGATTTTCCGTTGCTCTTTTTTTTTTCTTTTTTTTAAATTTTGAATCCTCGTTCTTCTTCGAATAGAGCAAACTTTGGTTCAAAAAAAAATAATAATGTGGTCACTCAATCCACGACTGTTTGTGGGGACACCGCTGTGCGCGATTGGCTGTTGCGTTTCGCCCACAAAATATACACTCAATTCGCTTTACGGTATTTTCTGTGAAGCGCTTTGAGACGTCTCGAAGACGCGATAAGGCGCTGTATCAAATGCGAGGATTATTATTGGTTATTTATGGTGAATACGGCGAACTCAGGAGGGAGCACAGCTTTTAGAAGGATACGAGTGCTGCCTAATTATGTGCCGCTGACTAATTTCAAGAGCTCTTAGAATAGAGGCCAGACGTGAACCAACTCTCTGTCTGTACAGCGTAGGTGAGCCAGGATGTAATGGACTCATTCATGTTGAAGAGGCCATTCACATCCTAATCTATGCCGGCCACAGAAACACCCGCAAACAAGCAGCTGCAATTTATTTCTCTGCCGAGCTTTCAGCACGATGTTAGTTCTGACAGCTTGACCCACCCCCCCACAAACCCCCCCCCTCACTTATCCCCACCCCAATTCCAACTGAAGTAACGATTGCTTTTCCCTACCGACATCCACTAAACATCAAATAAATAATAATCATAATAATAATCCTTGCCTTTGATATAGTATCTTATCAGGTCTTTGTGACATCCCAAAGCGCTTCACAGAATATACTGGAAAGTGGATGGACTGTGTATTTTTGTGGGTGAAACGCGGCAGCCAATTGCGCACAGCAGCGTCCCACAAACAGTCGTGGATTGAGTGACCGAATTATTATTATTATTATTATTTTGAAGGGATTATTAGCTCCTTTTCACCAGCCAAATAAAACAAACCCTACATCAAAACACAGGAAGGTCAATGAGCCTGTTCCGCCAATTTATTAGATCATTTAATTCAATTTTATCCCATTTTCCTGCCGGGCCCCACAAACAGTGAATGATCAATTTTATTTGGGGGATTGTTGTCCACGACACTGAGACAAACTCCCTTGAATATGCACTGCAGTATTTCTGTTCTGTCTGATACACAGTCACTACACTTCACAGTGAAATCCTGTGAAGCGCTTTGAGACGTCTGGATGACGAGATAAAGCGCTATACATCACTATAATAATGTGGTGCAATGTGTCTTCTGTGCAGATGTATGGGCTGATCTGGTTAACAGACCTTCAAAGCAATATGGACGACATTGATATCCTGACAATGCTAACCTCAGCAATCTGTCATGATCTGGACCACACAGGATATAACAATGCATATCAGGTAACACATTCCCTAATAATAATAATAATGCTTTAATTTGATATAATAATAATAATCATTGCATTTGATATAGCGCTTTTCACGTCTTCGAGACGTCTCAAAGGGCTTCGCAGAATATGCTGTAAAGTGAATTGACCGTATATTTGTGGGCGAAACGCGGCGGCCAATTGCACACAGCAGAGTCCCCACAAACAGCCCTGGATTAAGAATGACCAATTTTTTATTTTTACTGTTTTTTTTGAGGTAGTGGCTTATCACGTCGTTGAGACGTCTCAAAGCGCTTCACAGAATATATTGTAGCAGCCAATTGCACTCAACCGTCGTGGATTTCTTTTATCTTTGACTCCCAGAAAGCAATCTGCCAATCGACTAACACCCGGCTCACTACTTATCTGGGTAAACAGAGGCGTGCGGAGTAAGGAAACTTGCCTAAGGTTTCTCCCCGCCCAGGAATCGAACCCGGGTCCTCTCATTTGCGAGGCGAGCGCTCAAACCACGATGCTATGGGACTCCATAAATCAGGATTCAGCTTTACAAATATTTTTTATTCATGTTTCCGGATGCAAACTGCCTCAGATTTGCCAGCTCATTGCCCGCGAACTTCATTTTTAAAATGAGTTTCATTTATTTTTGTTGCTAAGTCAAATCGACATTTTTACGCTAACTTTCACCCCACAAATTGAATCGGATACCGTGGATAGAGGAGTATTGACAACTTTCTCAAAATCTGATCTGCGATTAAAATTTCTGTGAAGCGCTTTGAGGCTTTGGGATGACTTGATATGGTGTTGTATCAAACACAAAAAATATTATTATCATCATCATTATTCTCACTCGCTTTTCTGATGGGTGGCGTCATTTTTCCCATAAGTTGGAAAATGCTTTCTTTACCTTCAGATCAATGCTCGCACGGAACTGGCCTTGAGGTACAATGACATCTCGCCTCTGGAGAACCATCACTGTGCCGTAGCCTTTGAGATCCTAGAAAAGGTAACTAACAACAGCATTCATGTAGTGCCCTACACACCTGGTAGCATCTTGGAGCGCTCAACAAATTTGGAAGGGGTACGTACTTGAAGAGGAACATTATAAACAGGGCCCAAGGAACAAGCAGGGAATTGTTTTTTGACCAGTTAGCTCAAGTAGAGGAGCTATTACCAGCACAAGCTCGATGCACCAAATGGCCTCCTGTACATTGGATGTTTACATCCAATGGTTGTTTGATCAGTGTGTCCTCCTTTAAAACCTAAGCAGAACTGTAGCGGAATATCAGAATGTTCACCCCCCAAAAATGCAGTCACTACATTTTATCCTGTGAAGCACTTTGATTTCCTTGACTCCTTTAACCCTAAATCACTGTAACCCTTACATCTGATATCGTACCGTTCGATAATGTGAAATGCACTATTGCAGACGTAAGGATTTTTTATTATTAGTTTTACTATTATTATAGTAAAATTAACGAACAAACGTTTGCCTTTCCTTAAAAAAGAAACCACTGCCATTAAGACAATTATTGATTGGACCTGAAACAACTGAAAAGTAAGGAATATGAATCCTGAACACAACAAAACACTTTGCTACACATAACTGCGTTAATCCGTCAGCAAACGATAAATGACCATAACTATAATTTTCCATCTTCCCGGTCTGCGTAGCCTGGAAGCAACATATTCCGAAATTTGACAACCGAGCAATACAAGAGGATTCGTGAGGGGATGATAAAGTGAGTATTCCCACATGCCGGTTAGCTTTATCAGCCCCCAACCCCCCCCCCCCCCCCCCCCAACCCTTTCTAACACTCTCAACAGGCTTCAGGACATGGTATTTGCAAGACGGGCGAAAGACTCGTAAATGTTGAACCCTGCTGTAAACTGCCGTGAGTCACGCTGGTGTGATTTACCTCCAAGAGTGGAGTGCTGTATCCAATAAGTGGACTCCTGTAGCATATTGGTTAGAGTGCTCGCCTCGCAAGCGAGAGGACCTGGATTCGATTCCCGGGCGGGGCAAAACCTTAGCCAAGTTTCCTTACACCACACGCCTCTGTTTACCTAGCAGTGAGTAGGAAGCCGGTTGTTAGTCGATTGGCGGATCGCTTTCCGGGGGTAATAATTCGTTCAAAATGCATAAAGGAATAAATAAATAGATCACTGAATCCGCAACTGTTTGTGAGACGCTACTGTGCGCAATTGGCTGCCACGTTTGGCCCACAAAGTATAGTCAATTCACATTACCCTGCTGAATGTGGCCCAAACCGTAGACAAATGAAACAATGCAGAACGTTTGTGACATTTGGATCATTGTGTCATGTTTCGGTTCCAATTTCTCTTTTGCCTCAGGAAATCTTGGCTGGGTTTGTGCAATCATTAAAGAAATAATTGGTGGTTCGTTCAAATCCTGAGAGAAGAAAGCTAAGCAATGAATAGCATCGAAACGTAAGCCGTTAACTCAATCAAGTGACTGAGGTGGCATGACAATGAATTATAACAGATTGAACACCCCGTAGTTCAACCGCTTCTGCCACCTCAGACTATGGCAGTAAAGGATGCTCTTTGACAATGAAGGCACAATCCTAATTGAATGTAACACCTTTAAGCAATGCTTCTTGACATCAGTCAGTCTGCGGACTCTTCCTGCTGTAACCTAGAGATGTAATCTGTACGAGAGCAAGTTTGCTCTCGAAGGTGCACTGTAATAACATGGGTTTACTCCCCTGCGCCATGTCCTCTAGCTCTGCCAACACCAACCTCCTTAATTCATTCTCCCCCCCCACCCCCTCACCCCCACTGCATCTCACCATCGCATGCAAGCCTTCAGCCACTTTTACCCACTGATAATCTCTCCCCCACATCCCTCCCCGGTTTACTAATTCGATAGTCACGCATTTCCTATTCGGGAACCTGTTAAGAAATACCGGCAATCAGACCCCGTCGCCCTCTTGTTTTAACCTTAGGTGCATTCTTGCCACGGATATGACTCGTCACAATGACATTCTGAACCGGTTCAGAGCAATCCTGCCAGTGTTTGACTTTAACAACAAAGAGCACAAGGATATTGTGAGTACCAACCTTTTTCAGCTTCTCTTTTAGTATTACCGACCGCACCTATTCTGTTTCTTTATGCATCTCCAATTTACAGCCTTATCCGTACACTTAGCCTCACACCGGTGACAGTTAGGGTCACTGTTAACTATCGCGTTCTTGAAAGCTGTGATCCGTCTACAGTAAAACTTGCACGAGTCTGATCTGTATAAATCGTACAATCGCCTAAATCGTACATCTGCCCAAGTCCCGCTGAATTTCCTATTATTTATAAGTTCCACGTAACTCATGCTTCGCAGAAGTCACATTGCGGGTTTCGCCCGCAAAATATACAGTCAATTCACTGGACAGTATATTCTGTGAAGCGCTTTGAGTCACCTCGACAACACGATAAGGTGTTAAATCAAATGCAAGGATTATTATTATTACTTGTTAAATGTATGGTCCCAGCTGATAAGACTTATGTGAGGTTTACTGGATGACTAAAGATAATATCCTCAGATAGATCAAGTTCCAAATTAAGTCCAATGAATCTCACCCTTTACCGTTTTCTTGCAGCTCACGATGATCATAATAAAAGTTAGCGACATCTCCAACGAAGCCCGACCCATGGATGTGGCTGAGCCATGGCTGGACTGTTTGCTGCAGGAGTTTTTCAACCAGGTAATTAATCATAATAATAATAATAACAATCCTTGCATTTGGTACAGTGCCTTATCGCGTCGTTGAGACGTCTCAAAGCGCTTCACAGGATATACTGTAAAGTGGATTGACTGTGTTTTGTGGGCGAAACGCGGCAGCCGATTGCGCACAGCGGCATCCCACAAACAGGCGTGGATGATCCGCCAATCGTCTAACAACCGGGTTTCTACTTACTACTGGGTAAACAGAGGCGTGTGGAGTAAGGAAACTTGCCGAAGGTTTCGCCCTGCCCGGGAATCGAACCCAGGTTTGGTTTGACCTAACCACTACGCTACAGGACTCCAGGATTAGAGGGAGTTCTGAAAAGTGGAGGCATATTGCTGAATGATCAGCCAGGATGGTGGGATTGAGAGATGGTGGGGGTTGCAAGGTATTCCCGGGTTTGAGAACTCTTGAATCCAATCCCCATCTCAGGTGCAATCCTTTGACTGTTTAGCGCCTTGGGACGCCCTCCTGACATGAAAGGTGCTATATACGGATGCAATTTGTTATTGTTGAGTTTCGTTGGATAGGCACAAAGACAACCACAGTTCCCTGTGGTGAGGGTGTTTGTTGCTCAGTAGTAACCCTCTGCTCTGGGACCCTACCCTGCCTGAGGGGTGCTGTGTAAATGCAAGTTGCTGTTGTTGTTGTTGGGCAATAATCAGCAGACGCTTGGTTTCAGAGCGACAAGGAGAAGCTGGAAGGGCTCCCAGTCTCGCCGTTTATGGACAGGGATAAGGTCAGAAAGTCATCATCGCAAACTGGCTTCATCCGCTTTGTGCTGCTACCGTTGTTCATCGAACTGGCAAACCTCTTCCCCAATTTGGAGGTGAGTCAGAAAGACCCCAGACTCCAGACCACAACTTCCTCTAATCCCTCAACTCTCTCCCTCAATCCCTCCGCCTTGTCCCACACCCCCCCTCCTTCCCCTCTCTTAGATCACGACTGAAGACCTTCCTCTTTGACCGTGCTTATAGTCACTCCCTCGTCCTGGTTCAGCGTCAGGTTCCGTCACTGTTAAGCACTCACTCCGAGACACTGCCCGGTGTGAAGGGCGCTGTATATGTTCAAGTTGTGGTTGCTTTGTTGCTGTGTTAAAGCATATCCTGCAGGCGAGCGACTGCCCTGGCGGGGGGGGGGGAGAGCTCAGAGCTCAGGAATTCCCCCTAATCTTAGCCTGCAAGACTCTTTTGTCTTAAGATTTATTGTCGCACAGAATTGTGGATAATCCTCAAATCGAATCTCAATTCGAGAGCCAATTTCTTGTTAAGAACTGCGGAAAACTGAAGACTGAATTTAAGAATTTTCCACATGTCTGCCGTTTCCCCCGAAGCCACTTGGGGGAGCTCATTGAAATGGTAATAATAATAATAATGGTAATAATCCCTAGATTTGAAATAAGGCCTTTCGAGTCCGGAGGACGTCTCAAAGCGCTTAACGGGATTTACTGTAAAGTGTCGTCACTGTGTGTTTTGTAGGCAAACGCGGAATTGATCTTAGAAAATAAACGTGTGAAAGCTAATAAGGTAGTTTTGTTTCGGCAGCAACATCTCATCGATCCTGTCCGAAAGGCTTTGGACTATTACACCGAGATGGAAAACGCCTTGGAAATGGGGAAGCAAAGCCAAGCGGGGAGCGAGAAGGGGGCAAAGGTGTCAGAGAAGGACACGGAGAAGCCAAAGAGTGGAGAACAGCCTGAGCACAAGAAACCTGAGAAGGCAACCCAGCTTAGAGCAGTCACTGGCAGCGTCTCACACAAAGCGAAAGCAGTCAGATCCCCACAGAACAGTGACAAGAAATGAGAGCCCGCAGCATCTCCTCGCAACAACAATAATACAGTGGAATAAAAACTCACAAGTCGTACCAGTTGGGAACATACATTTAATACGACTTGTGCAAAGTATGAGTTATGTCAAACTTGCATAGAATAGAAACTCTTGAACGGAACTTGGGCAGATGTACCACTTAGGTCATTGTAATAATAATAATAATAATCCCTCCAAAAACCAAGAAACAATAATAAATTGGTCATTTTCAATCTACGACTGTTTGTGGGACATTGCTGTGCACAATTGGCTGCCGCGTTCGCCCATAAATATACAGTCAATTCACTTTACAGTGTGTTCTGTGAAGCGCTTTGGGACGTCCTCCCGACGTGAAAAGCGCTATATCAAATGCAAGGATTATTATTATTATTATTATTATTATTGTACGACTTATACCAGATCAGACGCATGCGAGTTTTACTAGAATAATAATATTCCTCGCATTTGATACGGCACCTCATCATGATGTCGAGACGTCGCAAAGCGCTTCACGGGACACACTGTAAAAGTGAAGTGACTTGAGTATTTTGTGGGCGAAACCTGGCAGCCAATTGTGCGCAGCGATGCCCCACAAACAGTGGTGGAGTGAGTGACCAATTTAATACAATTCCGATCGACTCCCTGGAACTCCGTTCCAGAAGCAGATTTTTACGGGTGACATTTGCGACGTTCTATAAATGTCCCTCGTGCTAATTATCACAAGGATAGCTGCAAAGACCGTGCTATTTCTCGTTTCTCACACCAGCTCTCTTGTGAAAATTAGCAGAAGGAAACTCACTGTGAAGTCATCGCAGATTTCATTCCTATGTTTGGCTTTTCATTGAGCAACAAGGATGATACCCAGTGTCAGAGGAATGATCAGGAAAGCTAGGGACAAAGATCGGACCTTATAGAAGTGTATATATAACATTTTATAACAAATATGACTCCTAATCATCCTTGCATTTGATATATCACCTATAGCAGTGTCCCACAAACAGTCATGAATTGAGTGACCACATTTTTTTTTGAGGGATTACGATCCCAAGAAAGCGATCTTCCTTTCGACTAACAATCAAGTTTCGACTTACTGCTACGTTAGTAGACGCGCGTGGGCTAAGGAAACTTGACGCAGCGATGGGAAAGAGGTAGGGTGAGTGTTGTGTAAGAATTAATTCAGATGGGCCAAAGAGTGTGCGTGTGTGAGCAAAGACACCAGCACAAATGGGCTCCCCTTGTCAACAGATCCCCACTTCCCAGAATTGGGATCTAATCAACGTGTTGGCTTTTCCTGATTGGAGACATGGTGATGATAGGCAATTGGCAATGCGGACCATTGGTGGATTTCGCCATTTCCCTTCTTTCGGTGCCGGAAGCAGGTATCGTAGCAAAGAAACACACAACAACCACTAAATGACTTGTATATAGCCACTTTTCACAACAAGAGGATGTCTCACACCTGAGCTAAATGGGACAAGTCAATATCCACAGCTGTTGTGATCACTGCTATGTTCTGCAGATCAACAGTGACATCTGGCAAAAGACTCTTAAGCAAGGCAGCCATTCGGATATCAGGTTAACTGGACTAGAAATCCCTCTTTTCAGTACCTTGTTCCTGTGGTGAATTGTGAGTGCGGGGCATGATGTTTGCCGTTGAGCTCCTGTTACTGATTTCATCCTGGATTGCTTCTGTCACTTCACCTTCCGCCGCTCGTAGCAATCGATGCCACTTCTCTGGCACGCTTCACAGGTCTGCCTTCCCGAACCAGTTCCATTACCCTCTTAGCTCCGTCTAGTTCTGTTTTAACCTGTTTCAGGGAAGCAGAAAGGGTCAATTCTTTCAAATGCAAATTAGATAGATTTCCTTAAGGAAACAACATCTCGGGATACAGTACATAGTTTGGGACATGACATGTCGTGCGACTGCCAGGTCGGTGGAATCTGAACTGGATGGACCTTGGTCTAGCAATTCTTATGTTGTTATATGTTCTTTTCTCTCTCACACTCCAAGGTGTGTATTTGTACAATTGAGCGGTGTTAGAAATCCAGATTTTCGCAAGTGCTTCTTTCTTACATTAAATTTCGATGGCAGTTCGCACACAGAAATAGAATTTAGGGAAAGGTGCATCCTCTCTTGAATTCACAATAATTTTAAGTTTTTTTTTAAGGAAAAACTAGAATAAAATCAGATTTCTGGAGCAGACCTCAAAGGGTGACTTATTCAACTGAACCTGTTACCGAGGGGTTTGAACAAACCATTCTCTCTGTTCGCACCCTCCCTTCTTTCATACTGATTATTCTTCCTTTCTCCTCTCCCCTCGTTTCTTTTTTTTTTTGGATCGGAAATAATTTGCGCTTCTCGATTCATCCAGACTGGCTCTTTTATTTTTTTTCTCTCTCTCTCTGCCCGTCGATTTGTGACACTTTACCTGTAACCTTGAAAAGGTTTTGTTCTATTCCGAAGCTCTTGAGTTTCAAAGCTCTTTATTTCCCTAAAGTCGTGCAGTGATGAGCAAGTTCGCAAATGCAATTTGAACATTCTCAGCAAGTACAGCCAGTCTGTCTTGAAAGCCGCCTGAGTCTATCGCTGCTGCGGAGGAACTAAAAATAGTCTGGAACGTGACTTGCACAACTTCCAAATGGATCAAAGCAAGCTGTCAGCCTGGTGAAGGCGTCAGAAAGTGCTGGGTTCGAGCCCCCTCTTTGAGACTTTGAACTTACATAATAATGATGGTAATAATCCTTGCCTTTGATATAGCTCCTTATCACGCCGTTGAGACAAAACGACAACAAATTGCATTTATATAGCGCCTTTCAGGTCAGGAAGACGTCCCAAGGCGCTTCACAGAATATACTGTAACGTTAATTGACCATATATTCTGTGCCCATACACAGTCTATGTGTGTGTGTATATATATTTAGATATAATACACATAGACTATATATGGGCGCAGAATATATGGTCAATTAACTTTACAGTATATTCTGTATATATACATAGTCCACAGGTTGACGCTCCAGTGCAGTGCTGGAGGTGGGAACTGCATTGTCGAAGGTGTCGTCCTTTGGATGAGACGTTAAACCGTTCACCTGTTCAGATGGGCTTCGACGACGACAACACATTGCATTGTATAGCGCTTTTCACATCGGGAGGACATCCCGAGGCACTTTAACGATGCTATGGCACTACTTGAAAAGAAAAGGGAATATCTCCAGATTGTCCTCCCCGTGATTCCTCCAACTACAATTGGTGATTTGTTTCATGGCAGATTCGGGGACATTGCTGTGCGCAGAATGGCTGCCATATTCGCCTGGAAAACACAAGCTCACTCCGCTTTACAGTAAACCCCGCGAAGAGCTTCTAGACATCCCCTCGATCGATGTGAAAGGCACGGTAACAAATGAAAGGATTAATAAATAATGGATTGTCAACTTCAAATGCGTCACTTCCATAGTTTGCAAATTTTTCGCAAATGACTTTTTGTCGCGGCAGAAATAGCTATTCCTCTCGCATTTAAATTGTATATTAATACTAATGAGCATGCAAACTTTAAACTGCCACAGCAGCAAGTCCGTCAGGAAGAAATTCATTTCAAAGCAACTCGGAACACTCTTAAGAAAGTGTCCTACGAAGGAAGCAACAATGAAGATGTTGAGTTCATTACATAACTCTGCAGCAGTTCAGTGTTTTTCCGTTTAAAAAAAAAAAAGAATTTGGTGGCTCAATCCACGACTGTTTGCGGGGACGCTGCTGTGTGGAATTGGCTGCCGCGTCTCACCCGCAGAGAACACAGTCACTCCACTTTACAGTGCATTCTGTGAAGCGTTTTGAGACGTCTCAACGACATGATAAGGCGCTATATCAACAAGGATTATTATTGTTATTACTGTTACTCACTGTCGGTAATATAATCATATGAATTGTGCGATTTGTCATTGTAACTCTTTTCTCCCCCCTTTAGTTCTCATCTGTCCTGTCCAGTGCTTCCCCCCAAGTAAAACTGGTCATTCATACCATGGCTGTTTGTGGGACGTTGCTATGTGCACGTTGGCTGGTGTGTTTGGCCGCAAAACATACACAGTCACACCACTTTGCAGTGTATCCCGTTGGAACACCTGGGACCACGTGAAATACCACAAATAATAATAATAATCCTTGCATTTTATTTGAAAGATGGGAGGGAGAGGGAACAAGTTGGAGGGAATCCGGGACACAGCACCGGGAAGGGGAGGTAGAGTGACTGAAAGCCTGCCCGCCAACGGAGGGACTGATAGAGCGTGGGACAATGTTGAGAGAACCCAAAACAGGGAGAATAGTTGATCCAGGAGCTATAAAAAGACCTTCCTCCTTACACGGATTCCAAGGTGCCCCTTACTAGGTCTGTAGTTGACATGGGAAAAGGATTTAGGTCGTCCATTACTGATGAAACGTCACATTCTATAAAAAGAATTCCCTGCCCTGTTCGTACGTGGTACTGTGAGACTGCACCGAGAACATGAGATACAGAGATAAGGAGAGAGGCGATTGTTTAGCCTGGGTTATATAACTGCTCAGGAGAATGGCGATGGGGACTCTCACTCTGGTGTAAAATCACCTTGCAACTCCCATTTGTATAGCGCCTTTCACCCGGGAGAGTGTCTCGGACCGCTTAGCAGTGGCGGAGCCCGACACCGAGCCTGGGGGGGAGACAGGATGTGGCTGTAAGCACGGGCGAAGAGGAAGGTCTTCAGTCATGATCTAAAAGTGGGGAAGGAGGGGGCAAGGTTGAAGGATTGGGGGGAGAGAGTTCCAAAGCTGTCGTCTGCCAAGAGGGGTCTGAGTGAATTGGTTGAATAGCCTTTACACATTCCATCCTTCCTTTACGCTGTGTGTCTACGCTGCCTTTAAGTCGCCAACCACGATAGTCACTGTAGTGCGAAAAGAGATTTTTTTTGCTGGTGTGGGACAGAGATTGAGATGTTGGTGGGATGTCCTGCCAAGTAAGAAGGCAGAAGCAGGGTCCCTTGTGGGTTTCAAGTGGGAAGTGGACAGGTATGTGTGAGATAAAGGCTTGAAGGGGAATGGGGATAAGGTGGGATAGTGCGATTGAGTAGTCATCTTGCTCTGAAAGCCTTTTGTGCTGTAATCTCCTATGTCATGTCCTATGTTTATAAGGGATGTAATTTCCTATCAAAGGAAATTATAATAATATTTTGAGATACAGTCAGTATATGTGTGATTTGAGACACGGGAAGTGTTGTATGGCTTGGGAGAACTAGGAAACTTTGCATCCAAGGTTCCCAAAGCTTTCCACTGTATGTATTTATCACTGTACTCGATGGTGGATTCGATCTCGATGGACATTGGTCTTTTTTCATCTATTAATTTGCATGTTCCTACATGCATGTTGTGTTTCCTGGCTGTGTGGTTCATTGGCACACGTACGTGCAGCTGTTTTACACCCTTGTACCCCTGGAAAAGAGTTCCTGATACCAGCTATTTATTTAGCAACAGGTCAAACCTTATCTGTGACAGCCAGCCGGCTTATGATTTCCTTGGAATCAAACAGGTTTGATGTTCTCCAGGGCAGCGCTGCCGCGATGTTTATAAAGGAAACAGATAGATACTTGGGAAGTAAGAGAAGAGAGAACAACAACAATTCGTATTTATGCAGCGCCCTTCACGTGAGGAAGCATCTCGGAGCCCTCAAATACAGGGGTTATGAGGGAAAAAGCAAGGAAATGGGATTCAAAGATCTGCCGTGAACCAGTAAGAACATGTTAACGGTTGGCCAGCCTGCCGTGCCCAGCAATGGGGCTTGGAGACGAGCAAGCAATAGAGAACTTGATTTAGGGACAGTGACGGCTTTCCGCAGGTGTCAGCCACCCCCGACTGTCCCAAATCAATGGTAACAAAACATGTTTCACTTTCCGCTGCCATCCTGTGGTCCCCTTAGGATATTTCAGGAGAACTCACTGGGGGAGCTCACTGTATTTTGGTAATGATGATATTAATCCTCGCATTCGATTCGACGCCTTATCACGTCTTCGAAACGTCTCAAAGCGCTCCACAGGATACGCTGCAAAGTGAACTGACTGTGTATTTTGTGGGCGAAACGCGGCAGCCGACTGCGCACAGCAGCGTCCCCGCAAACAGCCGTGGATAAAGCGCCTTGTCACGTCGTTGAGACGTCTCAAAGAGCTTCACGGGATATACTGTAAAGTGTGCCTTACCCAACTCACCTAACTTTAAATCCCACCTCAAGACCTCCTTCTTCGAGACTAATTTGCTTAGCAAAACACGCGCATCAGGATCCCAGAGCATTTTTGCAAAACAAATCACTTAAGCCAACGTAACTCAGTTACTCGTGATGTACTGATGGGCTGAGCAGCCTCATATTGCTCAGTGTTCAGCTCTGTTATTTCTCTTATGTGTTGCACGGGGGAAAATATAACCTCCTGTGGTGTAATTTGCAGAGTTCACATAATCATGATTGAAACTCCGGAGAGCTCTTCACAGGGAATTACTGTTAAGTGGCTGTGATTGGGTATTTGCATGCCAAATGTGCATGCGGTGTGCACACAGCACGTTCCCGCAAACACAGTTGAAGCAAATGTACCGCGTGACGAGTAACTGGGGGTCTGTCGCCAAGGCTGAGCACTGGGAGAAACTCGCTTCTCTTTTGGAGACAGCCCTCTGTGGGGTCTCGGTACCTAAGCCAGGCTGGTCCTCAATATTCCTGACGGCAGCACAGCCCAGCCCCGGCTCATCGACAGGCCCTGGAAGGGCTGACCAGTCACCGGAGGGGCTGGGAGTTATCCCACTCCGCTCCTGTTAACCCCGCAAGCCAAAGCCTTAATGGGGTAGAGGGTCCTAGCGGGTCAAGCAGCAGGAAAGCTTGCCAGACAGCGCTAGCAACCGCAAGCTATGTGCCGTTTTAGCCGGTTAGGCTTCAGCAGTTACCTCAACACAGACTTACCACATTGTCAGGTCGCCTCAAAGCGCTTCACAGGATATACTGTAAAGTGGAGTGACTGTGTAGCTTGGGGCAGCCAGTTTGCGCTTAGCAGTGTGGCTATTATTTTGCAGCTATTATCACCAGATTTCATCATAAAATTACACCGTCAATTCACTTTACAGTGTATTGTGTGAAGCACCTTGAGACGTCGCAATGATTTGGTAAGGTGCTGCGTCAAATGCAATGATTATTATTATTATTATTATTATTATTATTATCATATTTCTCCCCCTTTCCCAACCATTTGGGGGGGGGGGGGTGGGGGTGTATGGGGGTGGACGAGAGAGCTGGGGATTATTTATTGACTCCCAACATTAGACTTTTAATATGTGATATATTTCTTCAGCAGAGAAAAAAACCCACAGGGCAGGAACGCAGAGCTGAGAATCAAGTGTAATTTCCTTTTGGGTGACTCACGGTGTACGAATAGGATAGGATTTAGCTCTCGCGCTCTCACTCTCTCTCTCTCTCTCTCTCATACTCACTCTCACTCTTCTGCCCCCTCACCACCCTTCCCCTTACCTCGCGCGATCTCTCTCTCTCTCTCTCTCTCTCGCTTGCTCCCTTCCTCCCTCCCTTCTCCTCCTGAACCATTCCGGTCCAGCCAATGAAGGGGGAGGCAATGATTTCTTGCTGGTGCTGCATGGAGAGCTGTGCGGAGATTCAGAGAGGAGCTGTCTCTAGGCACCCAGTTGCTTAGGGCAGGGGATGTGTACAGCAAACGCAGTCTGAGCTGTCACAAAGTGGATGGATTCGTGGTTTCAGCACCGCTAAAACCCCTCGCTTCAAGATATCGGCCTGCCATCAGCTCCCCCTGATCTAATGATCTATTTTAAGATGTCTGGAGTCGGAACTTTATTCACCAAAGAATTGTCTGGCGATGGATTACAAGCGCCAATCTTTCAGGTAAACACGTGTGGCGTCGGACCACTTTCTGTGGGCAAAAAGGCACACGAATAAAATTTAACGCAAAGGTTGTGTTTTGTGTTGTGTTGCTTTAATGGTAAAAGCACTAATGACGTTCTAATAATAGTAATAATAATACAGGATTACAAAACCATCATCTTATTCATTTATTCATCAGCGTTAGTCATTATTATTAACGGGTTTTATTTATCATTACCGATATTAATGCTTATTATTTTAATAATAACGTGCACTTGGATTATTTTGTCTTTAGTTTGTGCAGCTGCGGTCTTAAACGGAGTAATATTGAAATGAGCAACAATTAATTCGTCCGAAGAAAAACTTAAGGGGGGACGGATTTTATTTGAAATCGTATTCCACTCCCCCACCCCCGTCTCTTCTTATCCATCTGGGACACTCTCCCTAAATCCCTCCGCCTTGCCCCCTCTCTCCCCTTTCTCAAGTCCCGCCAGAAAAACCTTCCTCTTCGACCGTGATTACGGCCACTCCCCCGACCCCCACACCTCTCCCCACCCCGGCTCGGAATCAGGCTCCGCCACTGTGAAGTGCTCTGAGACGCTACCCTGGGTTGAGGGCGCAATATAAGTGCAAGTTGTTGTTTTCCCAGCTCCTTGTTTTGCAAAGTGTTTGCAGTTTAAAATTTTGTAAAGTGTCTTCCACCAATACCCCCTCCTCTCCCCTCTCAAGTACATCAAACGAGCCGCGAGAAATTACAACTACTTTTCTTCCGAAATCTTGTAGCGAAAACAAAGTTTTATTGCAGTCGAACTTTGTAGTTGATGGCGAGGAGTTTGGATTTGAACTAAATTCACCTAAAACTTTCTTGGAGGTGATTTTTTTTCCATCATCAGTTCTTGAACACGACCTCCGTCATGAACCTGCAATAAGTAAGGTGAAATAATTATTATAATAATAATAAGCCTTGCATTTGATATGGCGCCGTATCGCTTTGTCGAGACGCGTCTCAAAGCGCTTCACAGGATATTCCATAAAGTGAAGTGACTGTGTGAGCGAAACCCGGCAGCCAGTTGCGTGCAATAGAGTCCCACAAACAAACATGGAGTGAGCGACCCATCTTATTTGGGGGATTTGTTGGGCATCATACCTGGTAGTCATTGTTAAGAATAATCTGGACTGAGATTTTTTTTTGAGGTTGAACAATTGCGATCTTAAATTGAGTTAATATTGGAACGAGCGACAGTGAATGAGTCCGAAAGAAAAGTTCATGGGATCTAAGTCTGTTTCTTCTCTTTTTCTCTCTCTGTCTCTCTGTGTCTCTGCCTCTCTGTCTCTCTCTGCGTGTGGGTAGCTCACCAGGGTGCACAGAAGGAGAAGCAGATTAAAGCGTTCTGACGGGAGCACTTCCTCCGAGACGACCTCCACCAGTTTCATCCTCCGACAGGTAAGCAAAGGGCGGCTTCTCACAAAACCTGCCCTTCGCCGGCACGGCTCGGCATACGGATCGACATCAAGTGCCTCGTTAAATGCTCATCGCATGGAACCCTTTTTGGGCTCTAATTAAATACCTTTCTTTTTCTGTCAACCGGCATTTAACTTTTTTTTTTCGTTCAGAGGCACTTTTTTTTGCTCGTGGCACAATTTTTGACATATATTTTTATATATAATGTATATTTTTAGATTTGAACGACTTCTTCCCCACCAACCCCCACCCCACACACTTCACTGCCAACGACTTTCATTACTGTAGAGAGAAGCTCATTATTGTAATATAAATTGGGTTTAATTAGCATAATCCATTAATGTCAGCTCCCTAATGGCTTAAGGACCTGCGTTTTTGATGTGGGTGGGTGGGGGGGGAGAAAGGAGAGGAGAGAGTGAGAGAGAAAATCTGATTTAATTCCCAACGGTTGTTTTCAAAGCCTGAATAATCGTTGCATTTAACATAGCGCCTTATCAAATAGGCTGAAGATCATCCAGAAATCTACAGCTCGTGCCCTCTCCCGCATCAGGCTCCGCGACCTTATCAACCCCATCCTTCCCCGACCTCACTGGCTTCCCATCACACAGAGAGGATACAGGGAGTCAACCTTCAAAGCCCTCCATGGCCTTGCTCCCCTCTACACCTGCGACCTCCTAACCCCCTACCAACCTGCCCGTTCCCTCTGCTCAGCCTGCTTCACGTCCCCCGCCTCGCCTGCCCCACCATTGGTGGGTGGTCCTTCAGCCCACTCTACCCCAACCCTCCCTGATCCCAACCCTCAGCAACACACCGATCATCCAGCGCCTTGGGAACGTTCTTCCAACTTGAAAGGCGCTATACAAATGTAATTTTGCTGTTGGTGTTAGTGTTATCACGTTGTTGTGAGATCTCAAAGCGCTTTCACAGAATATACTCCCAAGCGAATTGACTGTATAGTTTGTGGGCGAAACGCGGCAGCCAATTGCTCACAGCAGCGTCCCCACAAACAGTCGTGGACTGAGTGAGCAAATCATTACTTATTCCATGCTTTTTTTTAAGGGATTATTACCCCCAGAAAGTGATCTGCCAATCGACTAACAACCGGGTTCCTACTTATTGCCGGGTAAACAGAAGCGTGTGGAGTAAGGAAACTTGCCTAAGGTTTTGTGCTGTCCAGGAATCAAACCCAGGTCTCTCGTTTGCGAGGCGTGCGCTCTAACCTAAACGCTACGGCGGCACAAAAATAATTTTAAAATGAAAGTCCACGTAAAGTGACTTGATCCCAGTTAACTTCCCATTTATTGTAGGCCAGTTATTTATTTTTTTAAAAAAAATACGGACGTTTTTTTAAACGGAAATTATTTATATTTTATAATAACGTTTTAATTTTCCTTACTGTAGGAGGGTTAATCCTTGCATCCGATACAGAGCAGTCGAGACGTCTGGAAGCGCTTCGCAGGATTTACTGTGAAGCGTAGTGACTGTGTAAGCAAGTGTGCACACGGCGGCTGATTTGCGCAAACAGCTGTGACGCAAATGACCCATTTTATTTGGGGGAATTGTTGCCTGGGCCGGGGAGGGAGAAATTCCCTTCTCTTTCTGAATAGTTTGGTGGGATCCACCTCTGCCAATGCCCTCTTCCCCCACCCACCACCACCCGCCCCCCACCCCAGCCAAAGATACACAATCCCTTGTGGGGTGGGGCGGTGGGGGGGAGGAAATCATCTGAATACAATATATGGAGACCTGCGGCATATTGGTTGAAGCACTCGCCTCACAAGCGAGTGGACCTGGGTTCGATTCGCAGTTAAACTTTAGGCAAGTTTCCTTACTCCACACGCCTTTGTTTACTTAGCAGTAAGTAGGAACCCGGCTGTCAATCGATGGGCGGGTTGCTTTTCCGTGGTTAATAATTGCTTTAAAACGTATGCATAATAATAATTTGGTCACTCCATCCGCGATTGTTTGTGGGACACCGCTGTGCGCTATTGGCTTCCATATTTCGTCCAACAAAATATACAGTCAATTCAATTTTACAGTATATTCTGCAAAGCACTTTGAGACGTCTCGGAGTTGTGATACGACTCTATATCAAATGGAAGGATTATTTTCATGTATTATTATGATGAGAGGGTCGTTCATTTTTCCAGCGAGAACCATAGAATCATAGAAATTTAATAATGATAATAATAATCCTTGCATTTGATATAGCACTTTATCATGTCACAGCACAAAGAAGGCTATTTGCCCCATCGTGTCAGTGCTGGCTCTTTGAAAGAGCAATCTTTTCAGTTCTATTGACCTGTCTTTCTCCCCAGTAACCCACAGGTGACTTCTTTTTATAATTCTTTCCAGTTCCCCATTGGAAGCTAATATGGTTCCTCCCTCAACCATCACACCTGTCAGGGCATTCTACATCCTACCAATTCTTTGTGTGTGTGTGTAAGAAATCCTCCCACTCAGCTCCTGTTAACCCTGCAAGCCAAAGCCCTGATGGGTAGGGTGGTCCCAGCTGGACAAGCAGCGGGAAAGCTCGGCAGATAGTGATATCAATGGCAAGCTCTGCGGTTTGAGCTGGTTGGACTCCCAGCAGTTACCCCAACCCACGCTAAAGCCTTGGCTCTTGCCAACATGCACCTAATACTTGCTGGAATTAGGTAAGATAAGGTTTGAGTCCCTCCAGGGATGAGAGTGCGCATTCCTTTCCAGCAATCTATCTCTGAAATTTCCACGTGTGGGTGGGTTGCATGGAATTCTCAGCTTGGTTTGGATAGTCTTAAGCGCGGTGATGGGTTTCCGCGGGTGTCAGACACCCCGCTGACCAAGAAAACGGTGTGTGTGTATGTGAAAAAAAAATCTCCTCCTCATCTGCAGCCTTTGCTCCTTTGCTAATGATCTTAAATTGGTACCATCCAGTTACTGACTCACCGACCGGTAATATAACGCGCACCTCAACCATAATTGTAAAAGAAGTCAATCATACTTATGCGTCTACAGGGTGAAATTTAGTGGCGTTACATAAAAGATTCAATCATCACATTGAGTCGGTTATGAAATCATCTATTTTCAGCTGTTGCCATGAAGGTAACCAACTCCCCTCCATCTTTCTCCCTCCAACTTCACCAGAATGAAGGCGTCAAGGGTTAAATTACGAGGACAGGTGGCACAAAAGTGGCCCGTTTTACCTTGCACTTGAATTCGGGAATCAAATCCGGGTCCTTTCGCTTGCGAGGTGAGCGGTAGCCACTACGCTTCAGGACTCCACTGGCTCCCCATCAACGAATGGATCGATTTCAAGATCCTCACACTCGTGTTCAAATCCCTTCACTCCCTGGCACCTCCCTACCTCCCCGACCTCCTCACTCCCCAGTCCACTGCCCGGCGCCTCCGCTCGACTGGCACCGGCCTCCTGCTCGTCCCTCGTGCCTTCCGCTCCACCATCGGAGGTGGCGCTTTCCGCCACTGCGCCCTGAAACTCTGGAACACTCTCCCTCAATCCCTCCGCCTTGTCCCCTCTCTCCCCTCTTTCAAGATCCGCCTGAAAACTTTCATCTTCGACCGGGCTTACGGCTACATCCCCACTCTCCCCGGCTCAGAGTCAGGCTCCGCCACTATTAAGCGCTCTAAGACGCTACCCTTTGAGACGCTATATAAGTGCAAGTTGCTGTTGCTGCTGTGTCGATGGCATTCAAAACTATTGCAATTTTCCCAAAAAGAATTTCACTAATTAATCGATGACGCTGAATCTTCCTTGACTTTGGGGGAAAATTAAAACAAATATAAATCACACGAACACCAATTTACTTCTTTACCTATTTTTAAATAAATGAGAAACCGGTCTAAATATATTACGTCTAAATATACTCCGCTATCTGTGGGCTGTCTAAGCATCTGTGGCCTCTACTTCTCAGTTGCGTCAGCTGGGATCTCGCCGTGTGCTGTCAGCCAGAGATACAGAACATGTAAATGATTGTTTTAATTCCTTTTGAGAGTGCCTTCGGGTCTGTGGGCAGTTCCTCTCTCTGGGAGCACTTTCGGGTCACGCACACTTGTCAAAGGGGACTACATTAATGCTTACATTCCGGTATTAAAACTGCTCGAAACCTCTGGAATCATTTTATTGCTCTCTTAACCCTAACCCCTAAAAGGAAAATATCAGGACCTTTAAAATGTGTTAGACTGAGGACTTTCTTTCCTTTGTATGTGATCTTCCTTATTCTCTCTCTCCCCACCTTTTTTTTTTTCACTTTTCTGTGTTTGAAGAGCTAAATGGATTCCTTCCATGTTCAATGATTCTATTTTATTATATATTATATTATCACATATCCACCCCTGTCAAGTGCTCTGGGACGCTACCTTGCTTGAGGGGCGTTATATATAACTGCAAGTTGTTGTTGTTATTCTATATAATAATCCTTGCATTTGATACAGCGCCTCATCACCTCATTGAGACGTCTCAAAGCGCATCACAGGATATACTGTAAACCGGACTGACTGCGTATTTTGTGGACAAATGCGGCAGCCAATTGCGCACGGCAGTATGCCACAAACTGTCATGGATGTATTTTGAGAGAGGGATTATTACCCCCTGGGAAACGATCCACCAATCGACTGACAACCCGATTAATCGAGTGGTGGATCATTTTCTGGGGCGTAATAATCCTTCCTCAGCCCCCTAAAAAAATCCACGGCTGTTTGTAGGACACTGCTGTGCGCAATTGGCTGCCGCGTTTCGCCCACAAAATAGGAAATCCACCAAGTCGCTCGTGTGCTTGAACATGGTGCTTGTTTTGAGCTTGTGCTCCTGGTTGATCAGTTGTTCTGTTCTTTGCTTCCCGCATTCCCTTCCGCTCCTTCCGACCTGACCTGCCTCGATCTCTGGTTTCCACTGAGTGGCGTAACTGAGCAAAGCTTCTCTCGTGTGTGCTCGGTCCCAGTTTTTCAAGGCAGATTTCTGAAGATGATTTAAGCTGATTTATATG